GGGTTCAATTCTCGACCAGACTAAATGCACACAGCCACTACCCATCTGGCCATGGAGGCTGGTGTCTGGCTAAGATGCTGAATAGCTTCCAGACAAATCAGACTAGGAAGAAAGGCCTGGCATCAATTGGCTTCTGAAAATCAGCTAATGAGAACCCTGTGGCTCATCATGGGGACAGGGCAGGATTGGGTGCAATTCTTTCCATTGTGAATGACGCTTAACGGCATGAGGGAACTGGGGGTAATATATGTACAATGTCATAGGGGGTTGCTGAGCACTGCTCCTGAAGCAGAGGGTACAGCCCGTGCAAAGGCTTGGCGAGTTGGAACAGCGAGGAAGCCCTTTTGGCTGGAGAGGGAGAGGGGGTGGGAGGGCAGGAAGGGGCCGGGCTGATACATCAAGAGCATCTCTAAAGTTCAAGATGATGTCTGTGGTCTTTGCAAGGCCTCGGGGAGCAGGACAAAAAGGGGGCGATGATGAAGTTCAGAGTCCAGGAGGTAACGCAGGGTTGGCAGGGGATAGGAGTCTGAGGTGTGGATCGGGGTTTTGGGCAATGTGTGGGGCAAAGCAGGAATATAGAGAGCTGGGGAATGCGCACCCTGGCACCCATTTTATAGCCAGGAAAGCTGCCCCTTGGGTGGGATGTGGCGTTTGGATGGTGGTGGAATTCCAGGTGGTGGGTCTGAGGCTCTTATAGGCTGGTCTGTTTTGTAGAAGGCATTGGGCTGAGCCTATCATCAGCTGTAGGTGAGAGAAAGCGACTGACGCTGTTTCGTGGGTGCAGGACCTCTCGTCCCAGGAATGGTGGATGGACTTGTGGAACTGGGGTGGGGTGCTGTGGCCTCTGTGGTGAGTGGAGGATCTCTGGCAGGTGGGATGCACAACAGAGAACTGACCTGCCACCTTCCTAGCTTGGGCTTAGTTGGAGGAATAGCATGTGCTCCCCTAGTGGAAAAGCCCCAGTTCTCCCCTGGCAACCAGAGGAGAGCCTGTGAGCAATTGAGTCAGGGCTTGTCCCTCTGTCCACAGCCCTTCAGGGCTCCTACCTCCCTTGGGTAAAAGCCCAAGTCTTCCCTGTGGCCCTGCTGTCCCCATGTCTTTCTGGCCCTCATTCACTCCAGCCTCACTGTTCTTCCAACTCACCACGCCCTGTTCTGCCTCAGGGCCTTTGCACAGCCTGAGCCTGTGACCGCCACCTGGAACACCTTTTCCCCCAACCTTATCATTTCCGTCCCAGCTCCAAGGGCTCCTCCTTAGAGGCCTTCGCTGACCACCCCGGTTCAGATTGCCTGCCTGTTACTGGCTGTAATCCCCATCTCTATCCCCATTCCCACCTTCTACCCCATACCGTCGTATGTTTTAAGATTTGTGGCACAACAGTTAAGCACACTGCTGCTATCAGAAAGACTGGTGGTTCGGGTCTACCAGGCGGCTCCATAGGACAAACACCTGGCGATCAGCTCCCATAAAGATGGTGGCTTAGGAAACCCTATGGGGCTGTTCTCATCTGTCACATGGGGCATCTAGGAGTTGGAATTAATACCAAAGCCACACATAACATTTCCTGATTTTACAAGTTTCTGGCACCTCCTCTATCCTGCAGAGTGGACAAGGTCTCCTAGGGCCTGCTTTGGAAATTAGGGATTCTCTTTTTTGTTTGAGACAGACAGTGGTGGGGTATCCTGGCATTTGGGGGCCAGGTCCAGGAATGCTGAGCTTAACCTACGTGAGGTGGCCCCTGCTGGGGAAGGACCAATGAAACAGCCTGGCCCTGGTGAGTGAACTTAGGAAGGAAGTGGACGTTTATTTTCGTCCCTGGCCTGGGCCTTCAGGATGGGGTCGTCTCTCTGTCCAGCTGCTTCCATAGGGGGCTGTCCAGCAGAACAATGGGTCAGGAGGAGGAAGCACAGCTGGGCTGACCCAGGTGTGGGTAGGTCTGGTGGCTGCCCCCCCAGCTCCTTTCCTGCTGGGTTTGCAAGGGTGAGATGGCTGGGAGCCCAGGCTCTTCCTGAAACCCGTAAACAGGCTGCAGCTGGCTCCCCCTTTGAACCAATAGGCCCAACCTCACGACTTGCAGATGGGAGGGTCGAGGCCCAGGGAGGGGCAGAAAGACCAGGGTTTCAGCTGACCTGGAGATCCATGTGCCTGAGCTCAGGCCAAGACCCTCTTTCTTCTGAGCCTCAGTTTGTTCATCTGTAAACTATGCAAGCAGCACCAAGCAGGTGAAGAGTTCCCTCTAAGTTCTGATGTTTGCATTCAGTGAACACTTAAGAGGCGCCAGGACACAGACAAACAAGACAGACGCCACTCTTGCCCACCCCATCGGGCAAGGGACTGTGGCAGGATATGCCCTGGGTGCTGTGGAAACAGAGTGGGCAGCTGGCTCAGCCTGGGGCATCCAGGAGGGCTTCCAGAATGAGGTGGCCATGAAGGATGAGTAATAGGGATGCCAATGTCCAGGTAAATGAACAGTGAGAGACACAAGGTGGGGAGAAACTGACATTCACAGAATGTATCCTAGAACCAGGTTTGCAAGTTCAAAGAGAGCCTTGGATGGTGGGATTCCAGGCAGTGGGTCCGAACATTTTGGTGACTCAAAACATGACTCAAATGCTCCTCCCCAGGAAGAAGTTGGTTCCGAGCTTTCCTAATTTACAGAAGAGGAAACTGAGGCATGTGGTGGTCATGTTGTTTTCCTGAGGGATCAGCTCCTGCAGCAAGTGGGCCCTATATATAGGGCTGGTTTTGTCACAGGAACGAGGAGACTCAGAGTGACTCGTAGGCATTAGGTGGGGAAGGCATGGGGGGTGGTGTTTGGAGAACAGAGGTGTTGGGAGCTGGCAGACTGGGTTCAAGTCCAGACTTTTTCACTGTATTGCTGCTGTGTGGCCCTGGGAAAGTGGCCAGCCTCTTTGAGCTTTTCTGTGCTCATCTGCAGAACGGGCGGTCAGTCCCTAGAAGGACAGATGTGATGGAAATAACCAAGTGGCTCATGGCACTGGCTAGGGCCTGCCATGCTATACTGAGTTTGTAGCACCCAGTTCTTTCCCTGAACTGCATACAGTCATGGTCTGGTGACAGGGTGGGCGTGGAGGGGCCGGGAAGGCTGCCCAGCAACCCAGGCCCACCTTGACCTTAAAGGGCAGGCGAGCAGGCGGTTGGGGTTGGGACTTCTCTTGGGGATCTGAAAGCACACAAAGATGGGCTTTGTGGGGGTTTCCGGGGGTGAGTGGGTGACCATGCGGCATTCCTGGTCCGGTGGAGCTGGATTCTAAGCAGAGCGGTAGGCGAAGGGGTGTGGTCCAGGCCTGCCCCTCCTCCCAGGTTCCTCCAGGCACCCACAGCTCACTGGTAGACATCTCTGGAGCCTGTGATACAGCAGATTAAAATACAAAGTGGGCCAGCCCTCCCTTGTGACCTGGGGTGAGACAGATGCAGTGATGGGGAGACCTGGGCTCTGAGGGATGGCTTCCTGGAGAAGGTGATGACCAGATGTACTGAGGAGAGTGAGCCGGGGTTTGAAGGCCAGGGCAGTGGGGGATGTATAGTTCACCAGGGAAGAAGCAGGGGCTTGGAAGCCAGGGCACTTGGGGATGTATAAGAGTTCACCAGAGAAGGTATGGGGTATGGTCCTCACCAGGAACCCTGGGAAACTGCCCGCTGGTTTTCAGCGGATCTGCAATTAAGGAACAATTCTGGAGCTAGGGGAAGGAGATTGGTTGAGGGACAGGTCCCAGAGTCTGAGTCTAAGGACCTCAGGTCCTTCCTCTCACTCAATCACCAAGCCCTGGCCATACCACCTCCTGAATTCATCTGCTTCTCTGGGCCCCTGTCCTGGGCCAGTGCCATCTCTGCATTGCATTGGAGCAGCCCTTACCTTTTGCATCGTCTCGCATCGTCCAAGGAACCAGCGTGCCCTCCTGGGGCGTGGCACAGGCTCCTGCTTCGTCTGCTCCCCACTCATCCCCCTAGGCCATCTGCCAGGTCCCCCTCATCTGTGGAGACCCCATGCCAGGGGCTCAGACTTCCAATTGTAGCATGTGTAAGTCATTCCCGTCCTTCACCACACCCAGCTGGTACGCAGCGGGTGCTTCGTGATGGGTTTGTGGGACGTTAGTTGTGTGCCACGTTGGATGTGTGCAGACACTCTGCTCCACCGTTTCTAAGGCTTAAGAACCTTCGGAAGCCGACTCCCAGGCCTTTCTTCTGAAGCACCCCTGGGTGGGTTCAACCCGCCAGCCTTTTTGCCGAGCTGTTGAGTGCTTTGCCACTTGTGCCACCTAGGGGGCCCTTAGACTGTTGTACAGTCGAGTTGATTCCAGCTCATGGCGCCCCATGTGACAGGAGAACTGCCCCCTGGGATTGTCTAGGCCGTCATGGTTACGGGAGCAGATGGCCAGGTCTTTTCTTCCACGTTGCTGCTTGGTGAGTTCGAACTGACAATTTAGCAGCTGAGTGCTTAACCACCATGCCACCAGGGCTCCCTAGAACTCCCTATGTTGTTGGTAAGTGCCATCAAGTTAGCACCTTGTATAGAATTTCCAAGGAGAAGCTTGTGGGTTTGAACCACCAACCTTGTGGTTAGCAGTCCCATGCTTACCCTACAGCACTACACCAGGACTCGAACTCGTTATACACAGACACCCAACCACCTTGCCGTCGAGTCGATTTTTCTTCTCATAGTGATAGTACAGAACAGAATAGATGGAGACTGCCACATAGTTCTCTGTGGAAGGGCTGGTGGGTTTGAACTGCTGACTTTTTGGTTAGCATCAGAACGCTTCACCACTATGCCACCAGGGCTCCTCAGGACTCTTCCTAGCACCCCAACCAACAGTGTAATTGCTCAGGGCGACAGTTCCCTCAGGAGGCTCCTTGAGATGGATGCCCATTTCACAGATTGGGAAGACCAAGGCAGCAAGGCACGTGACCCATGCATAGGGAAGGGTGGCCTGGCATGCGGGTCCGGCTGACACACGTCTCTGCTTCCTGCAGGCCCCATGGATGCCTTCAGCACCAAGAGCCTGGTCCTGCAGGCGCAGAAGAAGCTGGTGAGCAAGATGGCGTCCAAGGCAGTGGTGACCGCGTTCATCGATGACACCAGCAGTGAGCTCCTGGACGAACTGTACCGAGCCACCAAGGAGTTCACGCGGAGCCGCAAGGAGGCCCAGAAGGTGGTGAAGAACATGATCAAGGTGATGCTGAAGCTGGGTGTTCTGCTTCGCGGCGGCCAGCTGGGCAACGAGGAGCTGGCACTGCTGCAGCGTCTCCGGCGGCGGGCCCACAACCTGGCTATGACGGCCGTCAGCTTCCAGCAAGTGGACTTCACCTTCGACCGGCGCGTGCTGGCCACCGCGCTGCTCGAGTGTCGGGACCTGCTGCACCAGGCCGTGGGCTCCCACCTGACCGCCAAGTCCCACGGCCGCATCAACCACGTCTTCAGCCACTTGGCCAACTGCGACTTCTTGGCAGCGCTCTATGGCCCGGCTGAGCCCTACTGCTCCCACCTGCGCCGCATCTGTGAGGGCCTCGGCAAGATGCTGGATGAGGGGAACATCTGAGCCTGAGGCCACTGACGCTGGGCTCCATCCGTTCTTTTGGGGGCTTTTCACTTGGACTCTTGTCAATCCTCCTTTGCCCGAGGGGGCTAAGTCCTGTGTTGTTTGCTGCTGCAAGTTGACTCCTGACTCAGTAACCCTGGCACAACGGGACGACATGCTGCCCAGTCCAGCGCCATCCTCAAGGTGGATCGCATTGTCCTATTGTGAACCATAGAGGTTTCATGGGCTGATTTTCACAAGCTGATTACCAGGCTTTTCTTCCTCATTTTAATCTGGAAGCTCAGCTGAAAGGGTTCAGCATCCTAGGAACACACAAACCTCCAGGAAGAAATGGGTGAGGGCTGCCCATGAGGTATACTGGCCAGGAATTGAACCCAGGTCTCCCACTGGAAAGATTTCTCATCTTCTACCATTCAACCACTGATCCCCCAGTTTTCTACCCAGCTTCTCTGGCCTGGAGCCCCTGGTCTGAAGGGAGAGGGGTTCGGTGGGAGACTGGCAGCCTCCTGGGTCCAACTGTCCCCGGAGCACCAGTCCTTCCTCTCCTCAGCCCCCACCTTCCACTCCTGTTGGGGTTTGTAATCCAATGACTCTCCCGGAAGGAAGGGCCTGGGCTTTTTCAGTCTCTCAAACGAGGTCATGGTGAGCTGGAAGGAAGGGCGCGAGGTAGGCAGCTGCCAGAGCCAAGTAGTCAGAGACTCCTAGGGTCCAGGTGCCCCATCTCCTTGGCAATGCGTGCCAGACTTGGGTGGGCTCTAACCCGATGTTTCAACAGGGCAGGGGACAAAGGGAAAGGCATTGGGGGTGTGTGTGCACATTTAAAAATTGTAATTTCCTGTTGGCAAAGAACGAATGCGCGAACCCCGCTCCTGTTTTTAATGTGACAGACCATGGGGAGGAAAGCGAGCAGTTCTCCTTGCCCCTGGGAAGATGCGGCTTCTCAGCTGGGCTGGTGCTGCATGGGGAGGGGTGTGGGTTTGCAATGCCTGCTTGTTAGGAGGAGAGAGTTTTCAAAGGTTACAAAATACGGTATCCCGGTCAGGAGGGTTATTTTTGAGTGCCAGTGGGGGGAGGGACTGTTATGCAGAACTAGGTCTGTGTAGGGCAAAGGTTACAAACGGAGCGCCTACAGGCCTTATTAGGTGAGATAGTTTGGTCCTTCCCAAGTGGTATTGGAGACATCTGGCATGGGTTATCAGCACTGAAAAACAAAAACACATTCACAGAAGAATCTAGCTTGGGAGGTTCTCTTGAGAACACACCAGGTCTGGCCTCTGGAGCCTGGTGACAAGCTGCTGAAATGGCTTTGCCACAGTCCTCACCACTCCCTTTTGCCTCTCTGTGGCCTGTTTTGTTTGTTGATTAGAACCCGGGCTCACAGCACTTTGGTTTCAGCTCTCTGAACAAGCCAAAGGCTTTCTTTGCCAGAGAGGCAGCTCTTCCTACCTCTGTCTCATCCTTCAAAAGCACAAACCTCTCAGATCTTCACATGGGAGGACAAAAGTGCCCCAGTGAGCACCTGCCCTGAGGGAATCTGCCTAGCATCACCACGAGTACTTGCTCCCTGCTGGGCTGTCCAGCCTGTCTTGGCGCTTGCATAAATTTGAGGTTTAATTAAAAAAAAAAAAGACTCATTTTAAATAAGAGCACGCGCCTCCTGTTTTGAGTTCTGCAGGGACGGGTGATTCAGCCATGTGATGCTCCCTGATGCTGTCTGCAGTTTTAAAGCCAAGTTGCAGAGAAATGTCATACTTCTGTGGCCCTGGCCGACAGGTTCAGTACCCACTCGCTCCACTGGGCACCTGGATGACAGGCGAACACAGTCCACGTGTCCAGACGACGCAACTGCTTCATTGCGTTTTCCTGGACTGGGATCTTTACTGGAGCAGATTGCCAGGTCTTTGTCCAGCCGACCTTTCAGTTGGCAGCTGAGGGCTTAACTGTTGTGTTGCCACTAAGGAAGCTAGATCGGGCCCAGGTGGCTCTGCCCTCGATTTAAGGTAAGCCACACGGAGACATGCAGGCACACGGGGCATGGGAAGGACTATGGCACCCACCCACTCTGCACACTGACAGTGGTCTCTGGTCCTGGGCAGAGACCCCACTCCTGGGGCTGGATTTAAAGAACAGGGTAGGTACCGTCTCAAGAGTTCTGGAGGCCAGGAGGCTAAATTCAGGGTGGTGGCAGGTCCCCTATCCTAAGGAGTCACACTGGACAAGGATCTACCCTCCTCCAGGCTGGGATGGGGAGAGGGAATGGTGAACGTGCTCTGCTGCTGACTGAAAGGTTGGAGGTTCGAGTCCATTTAGAGGCTCCTCGGAAGAAGTCCTAGTGATTGACTTCCAAAACCCCAGCCCCTGAAAACCTCACGGAGCAGAGTTCTGGGTCATTAGGAGTGGGGGTTCACTCAATGTCAACTGGTTTTACATGGACTCCAGTGTGACCTCTTGTGATCCTGACTGACCAACTCTCCCAAGATCCCTGCTTCCAAACAAGGCCATGTTTACAGGGGCCTTGATGACTCCAGCAGAGCTTTCAGAGGGAGACACACAGTTCACCCCAGACGAGCTGCCCCCAGAACCCAGTGGCGGCGGCTGCTGTTACGTGCCCCCTGGTCTATTCTGATGCGGGCTGACCCCATGTGTGACAGCAAACTGCCCCATAGGCTTTCTTGGCTGTAATGACGGGAACATAATGCCAAGGCTTTCTCCCTGGGAGTCACTGGTGAGTTCACACTGCCAAACTTTTATCTGCCATGTGCTTAACCATCGGTCCCCCACCCCCACCCCTGGGCTGGAGTGGGACTTCCCTGGTTATAATTAGCAAGGTTATAATTTGTGAGCATTCCTCAAGAAAGCCAGGCTTACAGAAGAAGTCAAGGAAGGAGGCTTTGCTCTTGTTGGCTGGTGAGATGCTGCCTGCCCAGAGAAAGAAGTGATATTGAAGGTCAGACCTAGGATGATGACTCTGAGTGGCCTAGGCAGTTTTTGTTTGCTTGGGGATACCTTTTTCTTGAAAAAATAATCTCCAAAGAAAGCAGTCGATTTTGCTCCAGGCCACTGTGGCAAAAATCTACCAACAGGGTGTGAGCGTGGGTTTGTGCCCCCTGCTCAGTAATGGAGTTGTGAGCAGATGGCTGGTCCCTGGGTGGTCCGAGGTGAGCACATGAACTGAAAGGTTGGCAGATCGAACAGCGTCCCAGTTCTTTCAACTGCAGCAAGACTGAGCATCTCCATCAGGGTTCCTCACCCCACGAGCCCCCTGTACCCACCGCCCCAGATGCTGAATCTTTGTGGTTCTTTTTCCATCCTGCTTTTTTATTTAAATACCAAAGAACATGGCCTTTCTCCCTGGCCAGTCTGAAAGAAAACATCCTGGGAGCGGACGAGAGCTGTGGGCCTGGTGATGGTCAGGGTGTGCTCAGGGTAAGGTGGGGCTACTCTCCCAGCACATCCTAGAGCTTGTGGGTGGACAGCTCCAGAAAAGCCATGATATGCCCCCCAATGCGCCCGAATGCCCTTTCTAGTAAGAAGGAAAAGCAGCTGAATCACGGACCAGGATTCATCTGTGTTTGGGAAAAGCAGAGCAGCAGATAGGGAAGGTTCTGGAAATCCAGGAAGAAGCCCTACAGGTCCTCAGGACTCCTGACCCTTTGAATTTGGCCCAGGGCCTTGGTGCCGTGTGAACTCCTCCAGACAGAGCTGAAGGCTGAGAGCATCCCCAGAAAATTGGGAATGTACCAGTCCTCTGGGCCCTGGCCTCGCTCAGAGATGAGAAGCCACATTCAGTGGGACTCCTGGTCACAGTTCACTGTGGGACGCCTTGGCCACAATCACCAGCTTGGACAGCTCAGCCTTGAAGGCCCCAGGCCTGTGAGTCACTACAAGAGAAGAGACACATCACTGGACTCCTCAAGACCCCCAAATCCTCAAGACTCCCGTGCCTACTGTGAGGGAGAGGGCTACAGGAAGGAACGAGAAAGGCGGAGGGGAGCACTCCTAGAGCAGATGTCAACGCTGAAAGGCCCCCAGCACTGAGAGGCTTGTGGGTGAGGACAGAACAAAGATCCCAGGCACTTACTGGTAAGAGGTAAAAGGCCTGCAAAGCCCAAACAATCTATTCTCTGGCCCTTTCCGGGGAAAACCTGTGGAGCCCTGCCTATAATCCAGAGCAGTCCCACAACATCCTGGCTAAGCAGCCCCTTCCCCCAGGCCCCACCTTTACATACCTGCTGTTTTGGTCACTTCAAACTCCTCATTTTTCAGGGGAACATCATTTTCTCTTTCAAACGCGGCTTTAGACTGAATGGGAACATTATGAGAACCACAAATCAGGAAGACTGGTAATGACTGTGTTTGCTTTCTGGGCAACAGAGACGACAGCCAAACTTTCTCACTCAGGGATGGATGTTGCTTTCTGACGCATGTAAGCGACAGAGACGATAGGTCATTCGACCACTTCAAGCCCGTCAGCTAGCTTTAACGTGGCCACGCCTCCCTCCACTGCACATTGTTGTTGGATGCTATCGAGCCAATACTGACTCATGGCGATCCCATGTGACAGCGCAGAGTTGCCCCACGGGGCTTCCGAGGCTGTCATCTTTACAGGAGCAGATCACCAAGCCTTTCTCCCACGGAGTTGATGGCTGTGTGCCAACCTTTCAACTGAGTGCTTACCTGTTAGCGCCACCAGAGCTCCTCCTATAAATCCTAGCAGGAAGGTATTTAGTTCTGTTTTTACCAATTCCAGTAATAACTTGTGGAAGTGAGATAATGGCATTCTCCCCTGCGTAACGTTTAAAAACCAGATGATGTACTCACATATGCCATGCCGTACTCGATCTCGGCGCCCCGCACTTCCGCCTTGAACTGTGTGAAGTAGAGGTAGGATTTTCCCTGGGGTCTGTAAAGACAGGACAGGTGAGGGAGTCTGTGCGGGGGCCAGAGCTTAGCAGGGAGCAGCTGCTTTCGGCTGCTCTGTCCCCTGCACCTTAAGAGGGAAACCAGGTTTCCAAGTGGGACTGGCTCTGGGGACAACAGACAGGGCCCCTGAACATCACTGCCTCTCGCCTCCTTTCCGGAATGTTCTTCTGGCTTGGTTCTTGACAATCTCTCTCCCCTTCTAGGCTGAGACCCTTATGTTCACTCACTGAGTAATCTGTTATTGTAGCAAAATACACGTCATGTAAAGTCTGTTATGAGACCTTTTCTTTTTAACGCTGAAAGTGAATATTGTATTTTGTGCAACCACCGTGGGCCGGATGTCGGTTTTGCTCAGGACAATCTTTGGAAAATAACGACTGACTGAATGTTCCCTGTCGTGTCTCCTTCTGTAGTCATCCGTCCCCCAGATGTCCCCCCCCTTTTTTTGACACTGTAGTTGGGTGACAATTTACAGTATCCATCAGTTTTCCACTCCCCTAATTCAGACCCATTTTGTGACATTAGTTGTAATGCCCTCCACGTACCAGTGCCCTCCCCACTTCCTCCCTGGGTCTCATGGAACTGTTCAGGCTTTACCTAAAGGAGCTGTGGTAGTATAGTGGTTCTGAATTGGGCTGCTAACCTCAAGGTCACAGTTCAATACTACCAGCTGCTCCGCAGCAGAAAGATGAGGCTTTCTGCTTCTGTAGATTTTCAAACTCGGAAACCCTGTGCAGGGTCACTAAGAGTCAGAACCGAGTCCACGGCACATCACCACCACCACCACCGATTCCAAGCTGTTTTTGTCACCACCAGCAGAAACTCAGCACTGCTCCAGCTGTGACCATCCGCTCCCCTCCCTTAAACCTCCCAAAGCACGAAATCATGCTGTCTCCACACACTTGTCTGTTCGGGACGATTATGTAAGTAGATCACAGTCATTCGTATCCGCCTTCTTTCATGTTTCCAAGATTTGTTCACGTACGGCCATCAGGCGTCATCTTCCTTCCGAGCTAAACAACAGCGCTGAAGACTGTTCACGGAGCGCAGCACCGTGCTAGCAGCTGGCCCAGCAACCCGGCGTCCAGAGGATGTGCCACACAGGCACTAAGTGGACAGCGCAGGGAGCTACTTTGGGCCCAAGGAAGAGGCTGTAACGGGGTCGAGGTGGCGAGGGGAAGGTGCTGTACCAGCGTGTCTGGTTTAGAAAGCTCCATCTGGCGGCCCGCAGAGAACAGACTGTGATGGGGTTCAGAGGGTGGAGGAGCGCAGTGGCAGCAGGGAACAGAGGTGTGGGTTTGGCGGGGGAGGGATAGGGGTGGTGGGAAGGGAGACACTTCTGAGGGAGCCCCGATTATTGGACCCTTACCCCCTGTCTCTGGTAGCGTAGTGGTTACGAATCGGGCTGCGAACCTTAAGGTCAGCGGTTCGAAACTACCAGCCGCTCCACGGGAGAAAGATGAGGCTTTCTACTCCCGTAAAGATTTACACCCTCGGAAACCCTGTACAGGGTCGCTATGGGTCGGAACCGACTCGACGGCACTTAACAACAACAACCCCCTGTCTGGGCCTGGTGCTGCGAAGGGGTGGCACCTCTGAGTCTGGAGGCCCCACCCACTGAGGCCGGCCCTCCTCTCAGCCCGGAGTTCCTGGGTGGTGACAGTGGAGACCACACCCCTGCCACGCCCCGCCCCCGCTGAACAGAAACACTGAGAGAGACAGCTACAGAAAGAGGCCGATGCTCCTTGGAAACCCTACACAGGGTTGCTCTGAGTTGGCTTAACAACAACAGACACAACTCAAAACACACCCTACACTAATCCTGTCTTAGCCACATACCAAAGACAAACCCAGTCCCATACGGGATTGTTACCAGAGGCAGCGGGGGAGACACCATTCCAGCCCTAACAGCAGCCAAACCGAAGGCTAGACTAGGTTCAAGTCCTTCCAGAAGGGAAACTTCCTAAAAACTCAGCCACTGAGGACCCTGTGAGCACAGGTCTTCTCTGACACACCCAGGTCACCAAGAGTCGGTTCTGGTTCCTCTCAGCTGAATGGTGGCCTCTGTCCAGAACTTTCAGCCATGCAGCATTTTTTAAGCCACCCAGAGGGTATGATGTGAGGCTGTAGGTGGGTCCCGTCTATGCCCCACCTCGATGCTATCAGAAGGCTGGTGCAGACAGAAGACATAGGCCACCCTGTAATTTTCCTGTAATCACCTGTGGAGACACACAGGTGGGCGGCTGCCACCAATGGGTCAGTCCCAGGGTAGGCGACCATCTCCCCACACAGCCCCTGCTGTGTGTAAAGTCCTGTGCAGCAGCCCGTGGGAAACATGAATGTCATGATCAGGCCTGGTGTCCTTGCCCAACACACTGTCACCGACTGCATTTGTATGGATCCATGGGGGCCATGGCCAGGACTTCTTTTGTGTCCCCCAAAGTGACTGCACTATGTCATATCAGACTCATAATTAATGTTGGAGAAATATTTACCACATGGGGTGATATGTACTAGAGATGTGATGAGTTTCCAGAACCTTCTTCCTGAACTCTCATTCACTCACACACTGACTCACTCCTTCAGTCACTATGGAATCACTGACTCACTCCTCCATCATTTATTCACTCATCCATATATTCATTCATTTCCTCACTCATTCATATACTGATTCATTCACTCATCCATATACTGATTCATTTCCTCACTCATTCACACACTGATTCATTCACTCATCCATATACTCTTGTATTCCTCACTCCCTCCGACATTCATATACCCACTCACTCAGTCACGCCCTTCTTGTCTCCCCACTTTACTTATCAAGCAGTAGGGATCCAGGAACAAGTTGGAGGTGGCCACCGGCCCCACTACAGGGAGATGAAACCCAGGAACAATGAATAGCCATAGGTGATGTGAGACAGGGAATGGGGGGGTCTGAGACGCCCAGGAGGGCAGGTGTGGGCAGTTCTCCTGTGGCAGACCTTTATTACCAACAGCTCTCTACCCATGTGTAGGTGACCACACCGCCTCCTCACGGGCCTCCCCAGCCAGATGTGCCTCTTCCGGCTACTTCTCCACATGCTGCTGGGTTCTGACTGCAGCACATCTATGCCTAATGCCCTCTGGTGACAATGGCCTATTATTCAGCTATAATGTGGGTACTGTTGTTTTTAAAATGCCATCAAGTCAGTTCCGACCCATAGCGACCCTGTGTAGGGTTTCCGAGGAGCGGCTGGTGAGCTTGAACCACTGACCTTACAGTTCAAACGGCTTTGCAGTCCGGCACATTAACCCACAGCGCTATACTAGGACTCCATAATTTGGGTAGACAGACACAAATCTGATTCCATTGGTAGGAAATGTCCAGAACAGGTGAATTCATGCAGACAGAAAGTAGACTGATGGCACAGTGGTTAAGTGCTGGGATGCTAACTGAAGTCAGCGGTTGGAATCCCTCCCACAGCGGCTCCCTAGGAGGACAGACCAGGAGACGGGCTCCGGAAGGTGACAGCCTAGGGCAGCCTGTGGGGCGGTTCTGTCTATCTCACAGGCTTGGAGGCAGCAGGGATGGGGAGTGAGGACCAGGGGGGTTTCTTTTGGGGGTGACGGACTGTTCTGGAAGCCGGCAGTAGTGATGGCTGCAGAACTCTGAATACCGTAAGAAGCCCTGAGGTGCTCACCTGGGAAGAGTGAGCTCTGTAGGAATTCAGAAAGCAAGCCCTAGGGTGACGGTTGTACCCTGATGGGCCCCTGCTGGCTGTGGGACCCGGTCCCTCTGAGCTCCTTCTCTGGCTGTGGACACCACGCTGACCTAGCTGGGCCTGGGATACTCTTCCTCAACCTCCCCTCCTCTCTACTTCGGGGCCAGTGTGCTTTCTGGGGGAGCCCTCTGCCTGTACCGCTGGTCTGTGTTCCCTGTGTGCGGGCAGGACCATCCTGCCTCCCTTGCTCACCTCCAGATGGTACAGGTGAAATGCTGATGGTCCTCGCTGGTCCCCAGGCTCATCTGCCACTTCTGGGGAGAGAAGAGAAGTATAGGTCAGTCGGGGACGTGGGCTGGCTGCACCGGGCTCTCTCAGCAAGTCCACAGGTTGTGTGTATCCTCCAAAGGGAGTAAACTGTTCCGGTGGCCTAGGCTGGAGTCAGCCACTCCTCGACAACATCCAAAACACACTACCCCCAAACCGACCAAACAAAACAAAACCATCAGCTACCGACGCGTGGTGACCCAGTATGTGTACAGAGTACAACTGTGCTCCGTTGGGTTTCAAGGCTGGGTTCCGTCACAGCAGAACACCAGATCTTTCTTCCGAGGCACTTCTGGGTACGTTCAAACTGCCAGCCTTTGGGTCTGCTACCCAGGGACTCGGCAAAAAACCACACTGCTACCAGGCTGTTGTAATTGTCATGGCCTCCAAAAGCCTGGCCAAACAGTAATGGAAGGCCACTGCTGTTCTAGACGGGTAGCCAGAGGCTTTGTTTTTAGCTAGCAAACTGGCAGAGTCTACGCTAATCTCCCGGGAGCTTTTCCATTAAAGAAACACAACCATCTTTATGCTAACTGTAGTGGGAATAAATGGTTGTATAGATGCGTTTTGCCATTGAGCACAAAGCGGGGACAATCATCCTTGCGTGACACGGGACACTAGCAGCAGGCCATACCTGAAGGCTCACCATGCAGTCTTCCCTTCGCTGGGCCATGTAAAAACACCTGCCTGAAGCCCCGAGGCCCCTGAGCACCTGGAAACAATCCATCCTGTGAAATACATGTCTCAGACAGGCTTCTAGAGCTCTTACCAAGTTCTTGCAAATGAGGCAAAGACATAAACATTACCAAAAAATCACGCTGACAGCAGAGACTCCAAGAGACGCGTAAACGCGTGCACAGCAGGATTCACACTGCAGCACTGCTCCCGAGAACCAGATGACTACACACACTGTGGGCCGTCCATATGACGGACGTCCTGTCTGACCCCAAACCAAACCCAGCATCAGCAGGATAATGCTGCCATGTGCAACTGAAGGAAACACTGGCCGACTCTGTGCTGTCCCCACAATGGGCCCACTGTCGCAGAAACTGTGTTAGTCCATCTTGTTGGGGGTCTCCCTCTTTTGCACTGGTCCTCCATTTTACCAAGCACGGGATCCTTCTCCAGGGCCTGGTCCCTCCTGATCACATGGCCATAGTACCATCCTCACTTCTAAGAGGAATTCTGACTATACTTCTTCCAAGACAGATCTGTGGGTTCTTCTGACAGTCCATGATGTATCCAATATCCTTAGCCAACACTGTAATTCACAGGCATCAGCTCTTCCGGCGCGCTTACTCACTGTCCAGCTTTTGCAGGGATGCTTATGAAGCCACTAAAAATACCATGGCTTGGATCACGTGGCACCTTAGTCTTCCAAGTGAGATCTTTGTTTTAAATCACTTTCAAGAAATCCTTTGCAGTAAATATGCCTAATAAATCATTTGATCATCAAAAAGTGCTTCACATCTTGTTTGCTTCTAGGAAGCAGGTAGTGTTGTCTGCATATTGCAGGTTGTTAATGAGTCTTCCTCCAAACCTGATGCCTCTTCTTCATATAATCCAGCTTCTCGGATTATTTACTCAGCAAACAGTCTGAAGAAGTATGAACTCTTGGTGTGGTGCTGTAAGATAAGCACTGGACTGCTAACCATAAGGTCAGCAGTTCAAACCCACCAGTCACTCTTCACAAACCCTATACAGGGTTGCTATGGGTTGGAATTGACTCGGTGACACTTAACAACAACACATTGAATGTTTCTGCATAGTCAATAAAACACAGGCAAATGTCTTTCTGATATTCTCTGCTTTCAGCCAAGATCCATCTGACACCAGCAATGATATTCTTCACTCCACGTCTTCTTCTGAACTGGACTTGGATTTCTGGCATTTCCCTGTCTATGTCTTGCTGCAACTGGTTTTGAATTATGTTCAGCAAAATTCTACTTGTGAGTGGTAATTTCTGCATTGTTGGATCATCTTCCTTTGAAACAGGCACATGGCTGGATCTCTCCCAGTTGGCTGCCCAGGTAGCTGGTTTGGGATTTCTTGAATTGGATGAGTGAGCACCTCCAGCCCTGCTTCAGTTTGTATTCCATCAATGCCTTCAGCGCAGCTTCCACTTCTGTCAACACCATTGGTCTTGAATATAGAGTCCCCTCAGAATGGCCAACAGCTGAGGGATTCTTTTGGTGTATTCCTCTCCTCTCCTGATGCTTCCTGAATCGTTCCATGTATGCCCATTGTTGTTGTTAGGTGCCATTGAGTCAGTCCCCAGTCATAGGGACCGCACACACAACAACACTGCCTGATCCTGCACTAACCTCACAATTGTTACGCTTGAGCCCATCGCTGCTGCCACTTGTCGATCTCTTTCATTGGTGGGGCTCTTCCTCTTTTTCGCTGACGCTCCACTTTACCAAGCATGACATCCTTCTCCAGGGACTGGTCCCTCCTGATAACACGTCTGAAGTAGGAGACATGAAATCTCATTGCCCTTCTTCCAATGGAGCCCTCTGGGTGTACTTCTTCCAACACAGCTCTGCTGTTCTTCTGGCAGTCCACAGTTCTTTCAACATTCTTCTCCTGCACCATAAGTTGAATGGATCAATTCTACAGCAGGGGCAGGGAACGTCCGGCCCACAGGCCATATAAGGCTCATGAAATTATTTGGTCTGGCCGTGCCAAGGCAACCACAGTTCCAGCCATCAATCACATTAGGGGTAAGTTAATGAAATGCTTGGTCAAATATACCAGGCTAATTTTTAAGGTGGTAATTTTGTATGGCCCGTGAATGATGTTATAAACATCCAAATGACCCTTGGCAGAAGAAAAGGTTCCCACCCCTGTTCTATGGTCTTCCTTGTTCATAGTCCAACTTTCACATGCATATGAGGCAAATGAAAACACCATGCATGGTTTGGGTCAGGCATGCCTTAGCCTTCAAACTGGTATCTTTGCTCTTGAATACTTTAAAGAGCTCTTGTGCAGCAGGTCTATAGAATGCGGTATGTTGTCTGATTTCTTGATTGCTGCTTCCCTGAGTGTTGGTTGTAGATCTGAGCAAAATGAAGTCTTTGACAATTTCAATCTTTTCTCCATTCATATGAATTTTATTTATTGGTCAAGTGGTGAGGATTTTCTTTAAATTGCAGCACAACCTACATTGAAAGCTGTGATCTTTGATCTTCATCAGTAAATATTTTAAGTCTTCTTCACTTTCAGCAAGCAAGGTTGTATCACCTGCATACTGCAGGTTGTTAATGAGTCTTCCTCCAATCCTGATATCAGGTTTTTCCTCATATAATCCAGTTTTTTCAGATTATTTGTCTAGCACACAGACTTAAGTATGATGAAAGGATACAACCCAGGTACACACACCTTTCTTGATATTAAACCATTCATTATTCCCTTGCTCTGTTTGAATGACTGTCTCTTGGTCTCTATACAGGTTCCTCAGGAGCACAATGAAGTGTTCTGGAATACTCATTCCTTGAGATTTTATCCACAGTTGGTCATGATCCACACAGCTGATAGCCTTAACACAGTTGATAAACTACAAGTAGACATCTTTCTGGTATTCTCTGATTTCAAACAAGATCCACCAGACGTCAACAGTACCCCTCATTCCGTGTCTTCTGAATCTGGCTAGAGTTTCTGCAGTTCCCTGTCAATGTACTGTGGCAGCCACTTTTAAATCATCTTCAGCAAAATTTCTCTTGCCCGTGATAGCAATGATATTGTTTGATGATTCCCTCTCTCTCTCTTTAAACTTTGTATTGTGAATTGAGTGACGGTCCACAGAGCAGGCCATCAGTTCCATACTCACCTAACCACACACTTTGCCTCACTACCTGATTGTAATTCCTCCAGGAACCAACAACACCTACCCCATAGTGCACTTCTGCCACCTTCATCTTTCCCCAGCCAACCTCCCTCTTGTCGTGTCTACCATGCTAACACATGTCTACCCTCCCCACTCCTTTTGTGAATGATTAATATCACTCAGCATAACGTCCTCCAGGTTCAGCCACGTTGTGAGGTGTTTCACAGATTCATCATTGTTCGCTAACATTTTGTAGTATTTCACTGTGTGTCTGTACCAAACTTTGTCCAACCATTCTTCTGTTGCTGGGCATTTAGGCTGTTTCCATCTTTTTGCTCTGTCTCTTGCAGACAGCATATTGAAGGATCCTGGTTTTGTTTTGTTTTTTATAGTCCATTATGCTCTTATGTCTCTTGACTGATACATTTAATCCATTTATGTTCAATTTCACTATCAATAGGTATGACTTGACTGCTGTCATTTTTCTGTGTGTTTTTGTGGTGCTGTTGGGTTCTTTGTTCCACATAATTTTCTCTGCTGAGTTCATTTCATTTGAGGGTTTCCTTGTCATTTTAATTTCTGTGGTGTTAAGGTTCACTAAATCTTCCTCTTTTTTAAATTTTGATGTGCAGGTGTATTATTTTTCTTTGAGGTTACCTTGTAATTGATTTTTTCCCCTGCTTAAAGCAATCTGTTGTATCTTGAAATCTACTTGACTTCCTTGCCATTTGGAAGTTCTGTCTCTACATAATTCCCTTTTTGGCTTTGTAGCTGACTTCACTGTACATCGATACTGCTGGTTCCCTATTTTTAGCCTTGTTGGTATGTTCTGCTTTATATACTTCTCTACATTAGTTTAAGGAGCTCTGGTAGTGTAATGGTTAAAAATTGGACTGCAAACCTTAAGGTCAGCAGTTTGAAACTAACAGCTGTTCTGTGAGAGAAAGATGCAGCTTTCTGCTCCCTTAAAGATTTACAGCCTCAGAAATCCTGTACAGGGTCACTATGAGTCAGAATCAACTACATGGCACATGACCACCACCACCACCATATGAGTTTAAATGCTTCTATATATGAGTTGCACCTCATGTGCATTTGAATTATTGCAGAGAGCGGCTTAACTTCCGCTGTTTGACACCGTTCCAGCGGGAAGAGAGACATCATGCATGGCAAATGACTCTCAAAAAGCTGGTCTCTGTCTTCCCTTCAAGTTAACTCTGAATTCACTTGTAAAAATATATAATATTGCAGTATTCACAGCCTTTCACTGTGAGCTCTACAAACCTTGGAAAAGGACAATTATCTCAACTTCAGTAGCCTGAATTCAAAGAGAATTGTATAAATTACTCCCTTTCACAGAAATCCTAAGTACAAAGTAACTGCATTTGTGAGACTACAGAAGCAGATAACAAATTAGAGTCAAGCTGACCGACCCCTATAGACCTCACCACAATCAGTCACCAGACAGAATTCACAAACCCCTACATACAGGCACCTGCGTAAATAAGCAGAAAATAATGAACTTAAGTGAAGGGTAGTTTTAACTTGATAATCTGTATTTCCTGCAGCAATTAGCCAGGTTGGGATTTATGCCACATAGCTTCCAAGCAATTTAATGAATACTTTAGAAAAATAAATAAGTAGATGTTAGTAAGACTTTTTATTATGAAAATAATAGTACATTATGTAGGATAGAAGATTGATAATCAGTCAGTAGAAATAATAAGGTAGTACAAGCATTGATGATTAATAGAAACTTATGTTACTAAGAAAATGTAATCAGGAGTCTGATAAGTAGAAATGATTTGTGTAAAGTTTGACTTCATCTTTCCGTGGAAACAAGAAGAAACAGTTTATCACCTACTAGGAAAGGAGATGAAAGTCAGTTTGAACATCACAGAAATATTTTTGTCCAGGTTGTCTAATGACCAGGTGTAAGAATGTTGTGATACACTGTGTAATAATTCAAGGAAAGAGCAAAGTATCAATTCATTATGTATTGTGTGATTTTAAGTATAAAAAAGAAAGACTTGCTGAGCCGGGCCACAACAGTAAAATAAGAACAAGCAGCCAGAGAAAGAGAGCCCGCTTCAGTCAACCAAGCAAACGCTCTCAACTGCTTTCATTTTCGCCGACTCTGCGTCTCCTCTCGTGTCCCACAACCCTGCGTGAGCTGGACTCCCACCAATTATGGTGTTGGAGGAGAATACTGAAAAGTACCATGGGCTGCCAGATGAACAAACAAATCTGTGTTGGAAGAAGTGCAGCCAGAGTGTTCCCTGGAGGCCAGAATGGCCAGACTTTGTCTCTCATACTTGAGACATATTATCAGGAGGGCCAGTCCCTGGAGAAGGACATTATGCTTAGCGTAAAGTGGAGGGTTGGAAAAGAAGAGGAAGGCTCCCAACGGGAGGGATTAGTACTAGTGGCAGCAGCAAAGGGCTCAAACGTATCAAAGACTGAGGCTGGTGCAGGACCAGACAGTGTTTCATTCTGTTGTGCATAGGTCGCTATGAATTTAATAGCACCTAACAAAAACAACAACAACAAATAAGAGTTCTGGGTGATGTTGTCCTACACAGTACTCTCAGGTTGCTGTCTCTTGTTACTGGTTTTCAGTCCAAAGAACATCTGTAAGCATTTCTGTAAAGTTGTCTGTTCATTACAAATTCCTTTAATTTCTGTTTATCATTTTGCTGTTGTATTTGAGGGAAAGCTTTGCTGAGTATGATTCTTGGTTGGCAATCATTTTCCTTCAGAGTTTTGTACATGTCATCCCAGTGCCTTGTTGCCTGCGTGGTTTCTGCTGAGAAATCAGAGCCTAGTTTTAGTTTTTCTCCTTTGTAGGCAACTTTTCTTTTTTTCCCAAAGCTGCTCTCAGGATTCTTTCCTTGTTTTGGGTTTTGGAAAGTTTGCTTGTGATACGTGACTTTCTTTTGGCGCTATCCTGCTTGGAGTTCATTCAGCTTCTTGTATTCTTATCTTGTCTTTCATGTTAGGGAAGTTTTTGTCCAACAACTTTTGGACAATTTTCTCTGTCTCTTCCTGTTCTGGAATTCCAATCACCCATCAGAAGTTGCTCCTCTTTGTGGTGTCCCACATAACTCTTGGCATTTCTTCATTCTTTATTCTGATTGTTCTTCTAGTATTGAGATTTCTCTTCAAGCTCAGTCATTTGGGCTTCCATTGTTTCACATCTGCTCCTTCGCTCTTTCAATGTATTGCCCATTTCTGAGATCTTAGCATTAATGTTCTGAATTTCTAATTGCAGGTTCTGCATGGTTTCAAATTTTGCATTTATTTTGTCTGTTTATTCTCATAGTGTTTTCTTGAATTCTTCTGAAGTTTAAATTTTGTCTTCTCCTTGAACTTTCTATCGATCCTTTAAAGGCACTTAATTATCATTCTTTTGAATTCTTTTTCAGTTACTTCTATTACCTTTCCTTCCTCAGAAATGTCTTCTGGCTTTGCATCCTGGTCATTTGTTTGAGTCATTCTCTCTTGCTTCTTTGTGTGAGATAAAATCGTCTGTTGTCTCTGGGACACTATGGGATTGTCATATTTGTAAAACCAAACAGTGCAGTTGTTAGACCTGGAGTGGAGAAATCTCGGGGGAGCTGGGGCTTCTGAAATTTAAGGAGCTCACGAAGTGGTTGTGGAAGGCACGTGACAGCAGAGTTTCTATTGGCCTCGGTGCTCGCTATGTTCAGGGCGCTCAATCTGGAAGTAGTTCATGGGGGCCCTTGATGGGGGTGGTTTCAGTGTCTGTTAGGACCACAGGGAAGCTGGGGCAGGGTGACTGGTTCAATGCTGATCTGACGGCTCTGTGGGTTTTGTAGGTCTGGAGCGGAGCCCACCTGAGTGCAGGCACCAAAACAGCACATCAAAGCGGTGCCGCAGCCCCCACCTCATTGTGGCATGAATCCCAACCGCGTAGCTCCAAACTCCAAGCTGGAGAGCAAGGTCTGCACTGGGGGTTGATGAGGGTGGGAGCTGGCCACACTGTGGTCACCAGGGGAACGTGGGGATAAAGAAGAAATCACACCTTTTATCATTGCCTAAGTGAATGTCAAGGAACTCCGGTAGTGTAATGGTTACGAATCGGGTTGTGAACTTTTAGGTCAGCAGTTCGAAACTACCAGCTGTTCCATGGGAGAAAGATGAAGCGTTCTGCTCCCATAAAGATTTACAGCCTTGGAAACCCTGTACAGGGTCACTATGAGTCGGAACCGACTCCACGGCACAGAACAACAACAACAACAACAACAAGTGAATGTCAGGACCCACTTCGCTACCAAAACCGTTCACATGATGGTCTAGGCGCAGCTTTGCAGTCTGGTGCACTCACCCCCAGTGCCACCCCAGGGCACTGTGGCCACTATTTAAATCAAGCTCCCTCTCTTTTCTTGGATAAGCAAGAACAGTTTGAGGAGTGTATTGAATGTATAACCGGAGTCCCACTGTCCCCTGGATGTTGAACCACTCACCTCATTGGTCCCTCCTTGAGAAGCGTAGGTGAACACGCACGTGTATTTATCCTAGAGGAGGGGAGAGAAGGACGGTTTGCTGGGAGGTGATAACTCAGGGCTCTGTGTATTAAAGGTACAGAGTCTCAGGAATTCTACAATCCTAGGCAAGATGACATAGACAAGCGACATCTCCCCTTCTTGGACGTGTACTAAGGTGGGCAGAGCGGGGCAGAGCGGGGTGGGGGGACCAAGATTCCTCTGGCTGACGTCCCTAGACATCCAACTCTCCTGCTTTCAACCTCCCCTGCATCCCTGACTCCCTGCTCATCTCCCAACCAGGGAGCTCCTGAGCCAGAAGAAATAACTCCTGTAGGTCCTGAGAAACAAAGACCAGGAAGGGAGAGGTCACTGCCTCACACCCACCGCTCTAAGGGCACAGGCTCTGGAAGCAGGGACACCTGGAGAGCCCACCTCTGCCCTACTGGGGCTCCGGACAAGTATAAACCTATCTCAGTCTCGGTTTACTTATCTGAAAAATGGGTGTAGGAATCCCTGAGTGGTGCAAAAGGTGACTCTGCTGGGCTGCTAACCAAAAACCTAGAGATTCCAGTTCACCCAAGGGTGACTTGGAAGAAAGGCCTGGCAACATACTTCTAAAAAACCAGTCACTGTCATCACTACAGAGCACAATTCTACTGGGCCACACACGCAGGGCTGGTTTCTAACTGGTACAATGGGCCTAACATGCAAAGCATTTAGCACAGTACCCTGCTGTAAGGAAGCATGCAGCACGTGGGAGCTCCTGTATCAATTTCACCAGCAGGGAAGCAGCACCTGAGAGAGGAAGTGGCTTATCCAACAAGCTGGGGACAGAACTGGGCTAGACCAAGGCCTGTTGACTCCAGGTGAGCACCTCTCTGCAGGCCTGTCGGCACTGTCTCCATGATAAAGCTGTGGGCCCTTACACAAGGGAAGGAGGAAGCAATATCTGGCCACTTCCTCCCTTGTCTGAGCTGCAGGGGGACTGGCCTATAGGTGAACCTGGAGCTGCCGTGTGGCACAACCACTGTTAAATGCTGGGTTGCTAACAGAAAGCTTGGTGGTTTGAACCCACCCAGAGGCTCCTTGATTACAGTTGAGAAAATCCTATGGGGGCAATTCCACTCTGTTATATATGTGGCGCTGTAGGGTAAGCACTAGACTGCTAACCATAGGTGGGTGATTCAAACCCACTAGCTGCTCTTGAAAACCCTATGTTGTTGTTGTTATTAGTGCCATGGAGTTGATACTGACTTACAGCGACCCCATACAGGGCTTCCAAGGAGCATCTGGTGGGATTGAACTGCCGACTTTGTGATTCGCAGTCCAGTACTGATCCTACAGTGCCACACCAGGAGTCCAATACAGGGTCTCTATGAGTCGGTACAGAGCCCTGGTGTGGAGCTGTGGGATAAAGCACGGGACCACGAGGCCAGTTTGAACCATAAAGTCAGCGGTTCAAACTCACCCGCCGCTCCTTGGAACCCTATGTCGTTGTTGTGAAGTGCCGTCGAGTCGATTCCGACCCATAGCGACCCTGTATAGGGTTTCCAAGGTGCAGCTGGCGAGCTTGAACCACCGACCTAGCAGTTCAAACGAGTTTGCAGTCTGACGCCATTAGCCCACAGCGCCACACCAGGAGACTCCAGGAACCCTATACAGGGTCGCTAAGAGTCCGAGCTGACTTTTAACAAGAATCAACAACCGACTCCCCCACACACAGCAACAAGGTCTGAAGGGAGAATCAGGAAGCCGCCAAGTTCATAGATAGGTTCCCATCTCTCCCAGCCTTCTGGGATCACGGACTTGTCCAGTCCCTACCTATTCTGGGGGGCAGGTCTCCTAGGACCCATAACTCGGAGAAGCCCAGGTGGGTGAGCCAGGGCGTGGACTTGTGACCACGCCCCCTCAGGGTCGCCCGCCCCCTGGAGGCCCCAGAAAGATCTCGCCTCTTCCTTAGTCCCCGCCCTCAAGATCCGCGCCCCCTCCACAAACCCTGCCCCCGGCCGCCATCTCTCAAATCTCCCGGAAGGCAGTGACACATACCCCAGGGCCCACGTTTTGGGAGAAAGTGTGTACGACGCCGCCGGGTCGCACGTCAAACTCCACCGTCGTGGGTTCGGACACTGCCTCGGCCGGCCTCAGTGCCATGGCCGTCAGCAGCACCGCGGCCCACAAGCTCGCGCTTCTGCCGCCGTCGCTCTTTCCGCTGGGCGCCGCCATCTTGGGGTCCGGTCCGCAGGGCTAGGGCGGCGGACGGGGCGCGGCGAGGGACAAATGGAGCGTCCGCCGGAGGCCACGTTGGCGTCTGGGGCCACGTGATGCCGTGTCGTCCCGCCTCCTCCCGTTTGAGTTGCCATCTTGGGGGCGGGGCTCGGGGTGGGCTGCTCTGCCCTGTGGAAACCATTGGTTTCTCCCCAGTTACTAGCAATGGGATAGGCCCTACAGTTCTTCCGCGGAATCAATGCAGAAAGGATGAGGGAAAGAGTAAATCATTATGGCCAACAACCCCATGGGCTAAAATTTAGTGTGATGAGTAACAGGAGTCAGTGAGTCACTACCAAAAAGTAACAATAGATGTTCAACCATTTCAAGAGGTAGCAGATGATCAAAAGGAAGAAATCCAAGGTGCACTGAAGGCATTGGCAAAGAACTAGGCCCCAGGAATTGACAGAATACTAATAGAAATCTTTCAACAAACTGATGCAACACTGGATGCACTCAACCATCTGTCAAGAAATCTTCCAGTTGACTCAATCTCGTCAACTGATTGGAAGAGATTCATATTTGTGCCCATTCCAAAGGGAAATCAGCTGACAATATTAGTAATATCACATGCAAGTTCATTTTTGCTAAAAATAATTGTTACACGGCTGCAACAGTACATTGACAGGGAGTTGCTAGAGGTTTAAACCAGATTCAGATGAGGATGTAGAATGAGGGATATCATTGCTGATATCAGATGGCTCTTGACTGAAAGCAGAGAATACCAGAAAGATGTTTACCTGTGCTTTATTGACTATGCAAAGGCTTTCGACTATGTGGATCATGAAAAGCTTTGGACAACATTGCAAAGAATGGGTATTCCAAAATACTTAATTGTGCTCAAAAGGAATCTATATATAGGCCAAAAAACAATTGTTTGAACAGAACAAGGGGACACATTGACTGGATTAAAATCAGGAAAGGTGTGCTCCAGGGTTGTAATCTTTCACCATACTTATTCAATCTGTATGCTGAGCAAATAAGCTGAGGAACTGTATTATAGGAGAACATGGCATCAGGATTGGAAGAAGACTCATTAATGACCTGTGATAAGCAGATAATACAACCTTGTGTGCTGAACGCGAAGAGTTCTTAAAATACTTGCTAATGAAGATCAAAGACCACAGCCTTCAGTGTAGGCTGCACCGTAAATGTAAAGCAAATGAAAATCGTCACCACTGGACCAGTAAGTACCATCTTGCTGAGTGGAGAAAAGATTGAAGTTGTCAAAGACTTCATTTTGTCTGGATCTACAATGAACACTCATCATAGAAGCAGCAGTCAAGAAATCAAATGACGTATTGCATTAAGCAAATCTGCTCCACAAGACCTCTTTAACATGCTCAAGAGCAAAGTTGTCAGTTTGAGGACTGAAGTGCACCTGCCCCAAGCCATGGTATTTTCAGCAGCTTCATGTGCATGTGAAAGTTAGACAGTGGATAAGGAAGACCATAGAAGAATTGATGCCTTTGATTTAGGGTGTTGGAGAAGAATAGTAATGGTACTATGGACTGGCAGAAGGACAAACAAAAATCTGCATTGGAAGAAATACAGCCAGAATGTTCCTTAGAACCCAGGATGGCCAGAGTTATCTTTCATACTTCAGACATATTATCAGGAGGAACCAGTCCCTAGAGAAGGGCATAGTGCTTGGTCAGCAGAAAAAGAGGAAGACCCCCAAGAGATGGATTGACACGGGCAGCAGCTATGGGCTAAAGCTTAACAATTGTGGGAACCTTGAAGAACCAGGCAGTATTTTGTTCTGTTGTGCAGAGGGTTGCTATGAGTCGGAACTGACTCAACAGTACCTAACAACAACAATATGTTTTGTACCATTCAGTGTGTGTATGTGTGTATTAGGTACCACTGAGTGGTCCTGATTCACAACACCCCGATGCACAACAGAAAGAAACACTGGTGTGGTCCTGGGCCATCCTCACAACTATTTTGTTTGAACCCCTTGTTGCTGCCCTCGGGCTGTGCTTCTTCCAACACAGATTTGTGTGTTCTTCTGGAAGTCCATGGTATTTTGAATATTCTTCTCCAACACCATCATTCAGAAGCACCTCTTTTTCTATGGTCTTCCTTATTCATTTCCAACTTGCACATGTATATGAGGTGTTTGAAAATACCATGCAGGGACCCACGTAATTTTATTGTGGCTTGCCTGACATTCTTCTTGTCTTGGCAGACTGGTTTGAAGCATTCATTTTGTTTCCTAGGTTGCCCCAGTTCAGTGTTTGCTTGTTTTTAACCAGTATAATGACCATTCTATTAGGGACACCTCTGGTCCCTGTTCTGACCCAGTCGGCTTGAAATCTGCAGTGGGCACTGTGGCCCCAGGTCCTGGCTGAGCTTCACGTCAACAAGATACATTGAGATATGCAACAGTTATGGCACGGGACCGGCTTTCTTCATAAAGAGCATCTAGAGTCAATGAAAGGAGGCTTGATGGCACAGTGGATTAAGCGCTGGGAAGCTAGCTAACAGATTGGCACTTCAAAGCCACCTGCCACTCCGTGGGTGAAAGATGGCACAGTCTGTCCTATTAATGTACAGTTCCAGAAACCCTAAGGACTTCTGGTGTGGTGCTGTAGACAGGGTGGCTATGAGTTGGAACTGACTCAACAGCACTTAACAACGAGGAGTTCTATCTGTCCTATTGGGTCGCTATTAGGCAGAATCAGGTTGATGGCAATGAGTTGAATGGAAGGGGGGCAAAGGACATGGATAGATGATTCCAGAAAACAGGCAAGCGATGAAAAGCTGCTTAACCTTACACCGAAGAGAAATATATGTTCCAATTACAATGGGACGTCTCGCTACAAACGTTTGCTAAGTCACAGTGTTGGTGGGGGATGGAGTGACAGGCACAATTCCATTCATTACATGGTATGTAAATGGAAGCATTAAGAACTGAGTATGCCTTTGGATAATTCCTATACGTTCATACATACATAAGGCACACACAAGGCTATTTATTGCAGTAGCATTTACACCAGGGCTTGGCTCATTATTGGCCTTAGGTCAAACTGGCCCTTTGTCTGTTTTTGTTAATAAAGTTTTATTGGAACAAAGACATGCTACAAAGGCAGACTGGAGAAGCTGTGAATCAGATCAGCTCAAACCCCAACACATTTAATCTCTGGCCCTTTTCAGAAACTGCTGGTTAACCCTGTTCCTACTGATAAAGGAACATAGAAATAAATGATAGTGCATTCACATAGAATGGAAGGCAAATATTTGAAAAAAAGCAAAACTAGTGTAAGAATTTCGAACAGAATAAGGAAACACTGAATGGTTTAAAATTAGGAAAGGTGTGCGACAGGGTTGTATTCTTTCACCATACTTATTCAACCTGTATGCTGAACAAATAATCTGAGAAGCTGGGTTCTATGAAGAAAAACGTGGCATCAGGATTAGAGGAAGACTCATTAATAACCTGTGATATGTAGATGATACAAACTTGCTTGCTGAAAGTGACAAGGGCTTAAAATACTGATGAAAATCAAAGACCACAATCTTCGGTATGGGTTGCATCTCAATATAAAAAAAACAAAAATCCTCACCACTGGACCAGTAAACAACACTCTTATCTACGGAGAAAAGATTGAAGTTGTCAAAGACCTCATTTTTCTCGGATCAACCATCAACGCCCATGGAAGCAGCAGTCAAGGAATCAAACAACGTATTGCATTAGGCAAATTTGCTGCACAAGACCTTTTTAAAGTGTTGAGAAAAGATGTCAGCTTGAGGACTAAGGTGCGTCTGATGCAAGCCATGATAATATTTTCAATAACCTCATATCGTACAAAATCTGGACAGCGAATAAGGAAGACCATTGAAGAATTGATGCTTTTGAGTCATGGCGTTGGAGAATACTGAAAGTGCCATGGGCTGACAAAAGAACAAAATAGATCCGTGTTGGAAGAAGTGCAGCCAGAGTGCTCCTTGGAGGCCAGGATGGCCAGACTTCGTGTTTCATGCTTCAGACATATGGTCAGGAAGGACCAGTTGCTGGAGAAGGATATCATGTATAGTAAGGTGGAGGGTCAGAGAAAAAGAGGAAGACCCTAGCGAGATGGATTGGCAAAGTGGTAGCATCAATGGGCTCAAGCGTGGCAACAATTGTGAGGTTGGCCCAGGATCAGGCAGTGTTTCGTTCTGCTGTGCATAAAGTCACTATGAGTTGGTACCAACTCGATGGCATGGCACCTAACAACAACAAAGTGCAAGAATACACTATGGACTGCTGGAAGAATTAACAGATCTGTCTTGGAAGAAGTACAGTCAGAGTGTTCCTTAGAAGCCAGGATGATGAGACTTTATCTCATATACTTTGGGCATGTTATCAGGGGGTCTAGTCCCTGGAGAATGACATCAGATAAATGACATCAGAGGGTCAGTGAAAAGAAAAAACAAAACAGAGGGAATAGAATCAAATACTGTTGAATGACAAAACATGCAGGGGATTGTAATCATTTCAATTCACAAAACTTAAAAAGAAAAAAAAAAAAGGAATGTAAAGTCACCATTTATTGTGAAATGCATGTGAATAAAGTCCTTTATGTAGCTGCACATACAAAAAAAATCAAGGTACAGATCAATAAATATATAGAGAGCTTCTAGGATCTCTACCTCTTGTCAGTCTGTTGTACTTTAGTGGCAATATTCTTCAAAATTAAAAATGAAGGCATCATTTGATAATCCTAGGAAGTTACCCTAGAAACTCCTATGTATGTCCACCAAGGCTTGTCCAAGGCTATTTATTGCAGTAGCCTGAGCCCATCGGTGCTGTCACTGTGTCAAACCATCCCATTGGGGGCGTCTTCCTCTTTTTCTCTGACCCTCCACTTTACCAAACATGATGTCCTTCTCCAGGGACTGGTCCCTTCTGATAATGTGTCCAAAGTATGAAAGACGAAGTCTGGCCATCCTGGCTTCTTTCAAGAAGCACTCTGGCTGTATTTCTCCCCACACGTTTGTTCTTTTGGCAGCCCATGGTATTTTCAGTATTGCCCTCCAACACCGGAAATCAAACGCATCAATTCTCCTATGGTATCTTTCCCTAATTTATCCTGGCACTCTCTTTGTACTCTGATTTTTTTTTTTTAATGCCCATTAAAGAAAAGGGAAAAAAGCTTGCAAGCGGTCATCCAAAGTACAATTGGTCTGTATTTGCCAGGAGCAGAGAGGGAAAGTCGGGAATAGGAAGAGGAAATGAAATGAGTGGCCAATTGCCTTCATGAACAACTGCCTCCTTTGCTGTGAGACCGGAAGAACTGGATGGAATCTGGCTACGATTACTGAGCAGATTGATCAAAACTATAGAAATCTGATCAAAAGAGGGAAATGTGGAACAAAACCTCAAATTCTCATGGAGTCCAGACTTTCAGGAGCCATGTAGTCTGGATGAACCCTCAGAGCTCCTGACCTAAGATCATCTTTAAACTTAACTCCAAAACCATCCTGAGTCTACTTTAAATCAAATAGTTTAGCTTTAACTTGTAAAATATGTCAGCTTTGAGCACTGTACTCTTTCTAAATCTATGTGGGGTTGGTGTGAGTCAGAATCAACTTGTTGGCAGTGGGTTTTTTTTAAAGTGTATGGGGTCAAATTGAGAACGGAAACTCAAAACGGTTAGACAGGAAGTGCTGGGTAGTGAGTTAATGTTGATGGGGGCGGCACAGGAGGGTGAGAAGGGCTGTACAACTGGAAGAATGTAGTCGGTATCACTGAATTGTAAACGCAGACGCTGATTTAGTGTGTACTCTCAGAAAGAAAAGAAAAACTACCTAAAACTTCCTACAGGATGCAGTGGACAGTGCAGGGAAGGTCTGTCCAGGGGGCAACCGTTGCCAGGGTTGTTGGGAGATGGACAGGAAGTGGAGTGTGCCTTGGCTACCTGGGATCCACATTTCATGATCCCTGAGGTGAAGCCACACCTCACCAGCAGCTCAGGGAGAAGAGGAGGTGGGACAGGACCTGCTGGCCCGAAGGCTGTGCTGCTCTCCTGGGAAAGTCTGGGGTTGGATGAGGTCACACAGGTGACATATGTCTGCACACTGACCTTCCCTTCTGTCCGGATGAGGCTGCTGAGGCTGTCCTCACTGGGTGGGGCTCATGAAGGCCAATGCAGTCCAGCTAACGGAGTAGGCACGGTGGTGGCTTTCTACTGTGCTTGGACCCCATCCCCTCCCCGCTCAAAGTGTGTGTTGGGACCTAAACCGCTGTAACTGTGGATGTAATCTAACAAGATGATGGGAGGACCTTACATCTGATGTAATGATTTTTCATAGTATAATCCACTGTGATATAATTACCCTATCAGTGGACGTCATCCTAGTCTATGGAGGGTGGATCCTAAGCCTAATCACTTCTCAATTATTCAAAGACCAGAGAGACACGAAGGGTTAGCACACTCACTGCTTACCAAAAGGTTGGAGGTTCAAGTCTACCCAGAAGTGGCAAGGAAGAAAGCTCTGGCAATCTACTGCCCAAAACTCAGTTAAGGAATCCCCTACGGTGCACACTTCTTCTCTGACGCAAACATGGCTGACATCAGCTGGAGCTGACTTGACAGCAACTTGTCATACACATGTGGGCGGAGGGCAGAGGGCCAAAGGAGCATCTGGGGTTGGTGGCAAGGAACAGATGCAGCCTCTACACAGAATTGGGACCCCGGCTTCCAGCACTGCAAGGAAATACGTTTCTGTTCTGTGCTCTGGCAGGACACTTGGACAACCTAACAGTGGACCAACAGCCTGGAAGAAGGCGATGTCTCCATTTGGAATCTTTAATGAGTCTATTTCTTACACACATAATTATAAAAGAATAAGAATTGACAAAAATATTTTCTTTCCATAATATGTAGAGGTGGTTCGTATCTGGGTAATTTTTGTGTTTTTTTCCTTCTTTTTTTTTTTTTTTTTGGCTCGCCCCTGGCAGAACTCTTGGCAGGGAGGGGAAGGAAAGGAGACAGGGGAAGGCTAACCCTGAGGTGGGGATGGTTCCGACTCCCAGCCCCGGAACCCCAGTGTGGACACGTGTAGCTGGGCTGCTGGGCTGCTGGACCGGGGTGGGGAACAACAGCCACTGCCCAGCAGAGAACTGTGGCTTGGGGACAGGTGGGGCGCCAGGAGGGCAGGAATACTCACTGACCCCAGGGGCCTGGGCACTCCTGAATGGCGCTCTACACTGTGCTTCGGAAGACGTGGGGCTCGCCGGGACGGGGCTCCCCAATGGCCCAGCGGTGGGCCCCGGCTCTCGATTTAGGCATCCCTTTGCTTTTTGTCTCTTAAATAATTATGAAAAAAATGTCCCCAGAACAAAACCCAAACATGAAGCGGAGCAAAGGCAACCACGTGCTTCTGTGCCGGGCTGGTGGCTGCTGACGGAGCTCCGGAAGCAGGAAGCCATGGGGTGGTGGCCGGCCTCCTTCCGGCCGTGGCCCTGGAGCTGTGGTCTTCTCCTCCCTGGAACATGGGGAAGACGCCTCCTGGACAGCAGTAGCCATCTCTCAGCCCAGGCACCGGAAGAAGCAGCAGGCAGAAAAAAAAAACAAAAAACCCCAAAAAACAACAAAACAAAACCAGGAGCATTAAAAATGAATAAAAGGTGTTCAGTCAACAAAGGCTTCGGCTCTCGAGGCTGTCGTGGGAGGAGACACCACATGTCCCTCTGCTGGCTTCCCATGGTGGTAGGGGCGGTGGCGATAAAGCCACTTGTGCTCTGAAGGTGAAGGCTCCAGGCGGCCAGGGGGGCTCAGAGGTATTCTTGTAAAAAGTGCAGCAGTGTGATCTCATAGTGCTCACCAGACTCAGGGCAGCGGATGCTGTGTCTCTCGTTGGGGTAGATCTGGGTGGAGAGAAGGCAGTGTTAGGGGTCCTGAGGGCGCCTCACCATGTGCCCATCCAGGCCCCCAAGGTTCCTCCCCACTTTCTGGCTCAGAGCATCTCCCTTCAGGTCTACACCCCAAGCACCCACCTCCTAGTGGGGAAAGGGAAGAACATCTGCTCTGGAGTTGATGTTGACCTAGATTTGAATCCCACTTCTGACACCAACATGCAACTCAGGAAAAGTGACCACTGCCTTGCAGCTTCCCTCACTCAGTCTTTGTGAGGATCCAATATGATAACGTTCATAAAACACAGGCACTTGCATACATACTGAAAGACTGAAAAGCTGAACTTCCTCCCTCTCCTTACCCTTTTGAATCTGCCAAGATCGGCTGTCCTTCAAAAGGTACTGTCTCTGCAGACCCGCACATTCTGTGTCCCAATATCATTAATCTGCAAGTGCCAGGCTCTAAGCCTTGTTACCTGGTTACTCCCCAAATCTAGGACTCTTACTACCCAAAGGGGGGCCCACCCCCAGAGAAGGGCAGTGCCATCTGCCACACCCTGTCCCCGTTGGGTGAATGGCAGCAGGGTCCCGGGTCTCTCCTTTGGCCATGTTGAGAGGTCTCCTGAGGCCCTCTCATCAGTTCTCATCCTGGGGACTTGTGAGACATGTATGGAATCGGCTCCAAACTCCTGAAGAGCCCAGCCCCGGTCTCTCACACCATGACTCACTTTCAACCTCCCCTCAGGCAGGGAGCAAGAGAGAGCCGGGATGCTGGGTAGACCCTGTGCACTCAGCATCTCCCAGAAGCCCATGTGGCCCTTATGGTGCCCATTTTACAGATGGGGAAGTGAAGGCCAAGGGTGTTCAATTTGGCTCCCAGGCCACAGGGTGGGGTTGGAGTGGTGTGGGGAGTAGGACTGACCAGAGGGACTAGTGTGCACGGTCCCATCCCTCTGGCCAGCTCCGTCCTCCTCTGCCTAGGTAACCACTACCCCTCTTCTACCCCTACATCAGGAACTCATCTCTGACCCCCATTGGGTACTTCACACACGCTGTGCATGTCCTTTAAGGCTGAGTTTTCACCTTAGGACAGGAAAAGTGAGCGTGGTAAAAGGGGAGGGGCTCAATGGTGCCCACTGCCCACCTGCCTGGGCCCTTCCCTTCTCTGGGGTCTGCAGCTTCCTGGAGCGGGGTGTGTGTGTGAAGCACCCAGGAGCCACCCACCTGGAGCTGGTAAGGCTTCCCTGCTCGGATCAGCTGGGAGACAAGGAAGTTGGTGTGGAAAAAGTGCACGTTTTCATCCAGGAAGCCGTGAAGGATGAGCAGGCGGTTGGGCCTGGAAAACAGGGTTGGGACGGGGGTTAGAGGTGGGGGGGTTGCCAGGCAGGTTCCCCTGCTACCTTCTCATGATCTGAATCCGCAGTGTGTGTGTGTGTGTGTGTGTGTGTGTGTGTGTGTGTGGTGGTGGTGGTAGGGGGTCGGTCCATTGCCCACAGCATCCTCCAGGTCTGAGCACCCGAGGCAGGAATGTGGGGTCCTCAGGCAGAGTGGGGAAAGGAAGTGTGTACGCATGCACGGATGTCTGTGTGTGGAATCTTCTAGAACAACAATCAAGTCCTGTGCTGTTCCGCACAAGAGCCATCACTGAGCACTGGAAATGTGGCCGGAGTGAATGAGGATCTGAATTTGTCGCTGGTGTTGGTGTGTGTGATTGAGTTGGCTCTAACTCATAGAGACCCTGTATAGGGTTTCTGAGGCTGCAAATCTTGTAGGAGCAGAAAGCCTTATCTTTCTCCTGTGGAGCAGCTGATGGGTTCGAACCACTGATCTTGTGTGGTTCACAGTCCAGTGCTTATTCTATAGAGTCACCAAGGTCCCAAGTTTCTTTTAGTTAACTTAAAAAAGTACACTGCACTGTGGTGAAATACACGTACCACAAAATGAACGGACATCAAGCGCAGTTTCCTGGCATTTTTGTGTCGTAAAGATCTTGTACCATCACTGCACTACCTAGTGTCTAGAGCATCCCATCATTCCAAAGTAAAAGTATGCACCGTGAAGCAGAACCTCTCATCAGCCCCGGTCCTGGACCCTGCCTGTCTATGGTCTGTCTGTAGGCATTTTAGTTGACTTCAGTGAACGTAAGTGTGAGATGAAATCGCCTTGTGTGGACAGCACAGGAGTGGTTCAGTTGTGCCCTGGACTTCCTGTGGAGCCTAAAGAGAGCAGAACCCGCAGGCAAGGGGCCAGTATGGCTTATTAAGATCCCCACCAGAGCTATGGCACTGAAGGCATGTGGTACCATGCCAGGATGTGGCAGCCCTGTTTGGCCCTACTGGGACGAACCCAGCTGAGTGAGCCTGTGCATCACGACCACGCAAGTACCTGCATACCCATCACAACTCAGGAGGAAGGAAGGGGCGGGGAGCCTGTGGGGAGGTACAGTGCCTGTGTCGGGGTGCAGTGCCTGTGTCGGGGTGCAGTGTGAGTGAGAGGTTCAGTGCCTTTGTTGGGGTACAGTGCCTTTATCGGGGTGCAGTGTGAGCAGGTGGTGCAGTGTGAGCAGCTGGTGCCAGGCCGTGGCCTTACTCGTTGGGCAGCTTCTCCACGTGTAGGGCCACGGAGCCCGCCTCGTAGCCTTGTTGGTTGTTCTCGGGGACGTCCATGTAGCGCTCCGTGTAGCCTGTGTCATAGGCCATCCAGATGGTGACAGGGGCGCCCGCGATGGCCACCTGAGGGACGGGCGGGTGATGGAGAGAGGGATGTCCATCAGGTCAGCCCGGGGACTCAGGGGGCCTCATGCACGCGGGGCATTGTCCCGGTGAGGGGTCACTCAGTGGTCAGTGAGTGGGGGGCGTGGGGGCCTGCCGGGCAGCCCTCCCGGGGCCGAGGGGCCGCACCCCACCCTCTGCCGCCGCCTCCTCATCGCCGCCGCCGCCCCGTGCCCTTGGACAGTGCCGGCCGGCTGGGGCCCCTCCCCGCCGCCTCTGCACACCGCGCCCCACCTCTGCCCCTCCGAGGCCGGTCCTGGGCTCAGCCTGCCACAGAGAGCTGCCGGTGGGGTTGGGTGCAGCCGGACGCCGTCCTGGGATCAGCAGCGGCGGGCAATGAGGAGGGGGGCTCGTCCCCGTGGGGCCGCTGCGGGGAGAAACAGCCACGTGGAGAGGCCCCGACCAGGCGCCTCCCCAGGGGCGGCGGGCTCCGAGGGGCTCGAGGCTCAGGGCTTGGGGTGGGGGTGGGAGAAGCATGGCGGCGGCTGGCCCTGTGGGACCCACCTTGAACACCTGGGGTTTGTGGATCAGCCCCATCAGCGAGAGGAAGCCGCCGTAGGACCAGCCGTGGATGGCGACCCGGCTGAGGTCGATGAAGCCGTACTTTTCAGCCACAAACTGCAAGCCCTCCACCTGGTCCTCGATCTCCACTTGGCCCTGCAGATGAACCACACTGCTCAGTCATCTCCTCCGGGGCATGTCCCTGCGACCTCACTGCTGGCCTCCATGGCATGGAAGCAGCCCCCTGGCAAACCCCGCCGGCTTGCTGGGGAGGTGTGGGCGCTGGACAGACGGACACAGTACCAGCCCTGCCCCTGCCACCTTGAGGGGTCCCTCTCTGTGAAATGGGGACATGAACGTGAACAGGACCCACATCACTGAGTGTGAGATGGCATGAGGTGCCGAGTGTGCTAAACTCAGAGGGCTGGCACGTGCTAAGTATCAATAGACAGCTGTCGTCATCACTGTGGTCACTCCTATCACCGTCACCACCACCACCATCATTACTACTACCATCACCACCATTATTACCACCACCATCATCATCCTTACCACAACCACCACCACTATCCTTATTACCACCATCACCGCCATTATTACCACTACTACCAACACCATCACCATCATTGTCGTTCATCACCACCATTACCACTACCACTATCACCACCACCATCCTTATTAGCACTACCACCGCCATTATTACCAATCCCACCAACAGCAGCATCGTTCATCACCATCATTACCATCACCACCACCACCATTCATCACTGTCATTACCATCACCACAATCATCACCACCACAATGATGACCATCACCACCACCATCGCCATCATCACCACCACCATCGCCATCATCACCACCACCATCGCCATCATCACCACCTCCTAGTGCCTGAATTAAAATAAAGTGTCTGCCTATGTCTGGGTCATATGAGCTCCTATACCATGTGCTAAGAGAGCGGGGCGCGGGGAGAGAGAGAGAGAGCAATGTATCTGTCTCCCCACAAGGTGTAGATCAGAGCAAAGCAGCAAACGGAGATAGCTTCTGCCTAGGGCACCTTGGCCAGAACTATCATTCTGAGGGTGGTGCCCAGACCCACCTCCGGATCCCACCAGCCCAGGCATCCAGTACGGAGCAGTCAGTGCATGGTGGTGTGGAAGAGAAGTTACCATTTGGTTCTTAAGGGCCCCTTCAAAGCGGAGTCCCCTCTGACAAGAGCCCCTGCCATCGATGACCACCACGGCGTAGCCCAGGGATGCCAGCGTGTTGAGCCGCAAATACTTGATTCCTTTGAAGGAGTTGTTCACGAGCTGCACCTATGGGAGGGAGGCCAGGAGAGAGAAGGGGTGACGGTGAATGTGACTCAATGTCTCTCCCAGTGAGTAAAGACATGGTGCCCCGAGTGACCGGAGTTCAGTCTACAAGACACACGGTGGGCAGGGCAGGAGAGCTGAGTCAAAAAATCAATCCCACTTCAGACCCACAGCCAGCCTACCAAACAAGGCAGAACTAACTACTCTGGAGGGTTTCCAAGGCTGTAAACCTGTACAGAAATAGACAGCCTCATTTTGCTCCTGTGGAGCAGCTGGTAGGCTTGGAATCGCTGAACTTTTGGACAGCAGCCCATTGCTTAGAAGTTTAGAGTACAAGCTGTTGAGTCCATGTTGACTCCTAGAGATCCCGTGTGTCAGAGTACAACTGTGCTCTACAGGGTTCTCAGTGGATGAGTTTTCATAAGTAGACTCCACTCATGGTGTCCCGTGTGTGTCAGAGGAGAGCTGTGCCCCACAGGGTTCTCAGTGGGTGAGTTTTCGTAAGTAGATTCCCCTCATGATTACCCCTTGTGTGTCAGAGTAACTGTGCTCCACAGGGTTCTCAGTGGATGAGTTTTCAGAAGTAGATTCCTCTCAGGGTGTCCCCATGTGTGTCAGAGGAAAACTGCCCCACAGGGTTCTCAGTGGATGAGTTTTATAAGGAGATTCCACTCATGGTATCGACATGTGTCAGAGAAGAACTGAGCGCCACAGGGCTTTCAGTGGCTGATTTTTGTAAGTGGATTCCAGTCATGGTACCCTGTGTGTGTCAACAGTAGACCTGTGCTTCCCTGGGTTCTCAGTGGGAGAGTTTTCTAAAGCACATCACAAGGTGTCTCTGGGTAGATGCAATCCTCAACCTTTTTCATTAACCTGTGCACGACTCAGGGATTCCAAGCCTAGTGATGGCATCTGCATTTCTCATGGGCACTGTGGCAGGTCCTAGGCAGACTCTGGGGTGGTGGGGAGGGCCCAGGTCACAGGGAGGCCAGCTCTGTGCCAGGCCCTGTCTCGGGGTGTACTGAGCCTGGCACCAGAGTCAGCCCCTCCCTGGGGGCTACCACTCATCTCCCCTCGCCCCTCAGGCTCTCCTCTTCTCTACTCCACAGTCCTATAGACACAAGAGGAAACTGCTGGGGAAGTGCTTCTGTGTAATTGGCCTTCCAGCAGGGTCCCCCGACTGCAGGGTACTGCTGACATGGGACTGGGTGCTTCTCTGGGGTGGGCCTGTCTTGTGCACTGTAGGCTGTTGAGCAGTGTCCCCTGGGGCACAGAGCCGCCCCTCCCCCCGCCCCCATTTCCTTAGATCAGGTTCATACATGGGGAATTCTAAACATTCATGGAAAAACTAAAATGAAAATAATGCAATTTTTCTACAAACTTTTTGAACCCCCCTTATGATGACATTTGGGGCCAGACAGCACTGAGGCATGGGCTGTCCTGGGCATTGTGGGGTATGAACGGAATGTGCATCCTCCATCCACCCCTCCCCAAGTCACGACACCCACAAAGATCCTCAAGCCTTGCCTAGTGTCCCTTGGGGCAGAAGCACCCTGGGTGAGGACCCCACCCACCTGCCAGCTTCTCAGAGAACAGGGCCCAGGGGCCACTGTCTTCCATGACCTGGGGCCCAGTGTAGCCCTGGTTTGGGGCTAGTGAGACACATGGGTCCTACAAAGGGGGACAAGTCCCATAGTCTGGATGAACAGAGAGTGAAAATAGTGGCCCGGGGGCAGGGGTGCAGAGATGCAGAGGAGAGCACAGGGACTGTGGGAGGGGCACGCACCTGCGGGCCCCCATACACGAAGAGGACGGTGGGGTGTTTCTTGCCCGGCTGCACGGTGTGCGGTTTGTAGATCATGCCATAGAGCCGTACGTCAGAGCGCGTGTGGAACTGGAAGATCTCCGGTGGCACGTAGTCCGGGGGGCAGCCTGCAGGGGACATAGCATGGTGAGATACCAAACAGGCCAGGGGACACCCAACTGGGTGAGACCCACATCTGACCAGCGCCTGCCCATCACCTCCTCACCAGCGTCTGAGGGTGAGAGAAAATGCCTGTTGGTTTGAAACCGTACCTCCTCAAAGCTTCAAACACAGTCCAAGGGCCGAGTTGTTCTCTGGGGGGACGTTGTACTGGGAAGATGTGGTGAGACTTGGGCCACACCCCACACGTGGCCTTTAGACCCAGCAGAGAGTGAGAGCAGAACTGCTCTAAGGGCTTCAAGGCTCTGCCTTGTCAGGTCTGCCTCCCAAGGTGCCTCTGGGGGGCGGGGCGTTTCCAATTGCCAACTTTTCTGCTTCTCATGAAGCACTTAACTATCTGTGGCCCCCAGAGATGGCCCCTAGACCTCCTCAAGGAGTCCTGCTGCCCAATGAGAAATCGCTGTGCTGGCTTTTCACTTCACTTCTCTCCTGCCAGCCTCCCCAGAGAAGGCAGCTCCCGGACACCTGCCTCCTGGGGCTCAATCAATAGTTCATTTGATCTGCCCTTTCTCATGGCTTTGTCATTGTGGCTGCGGAGAAACTGGCTCCTTTTATCCTTGCAGGCGTCCCTGTGGGTGGGAATTCAAGGGTTGGCACCTCAATTCCACCCCCAGGTGCCATGGAAGACAGGCCTGGCGAGCTACTTCTGAAAACCAGCCACTGTGATCTCTGTTCTGTTTGGCAGCATGTGAGGTCACCGGAAGTCGAATCAACTCCAGGGTGATTGGTGGGTTTGGAGAGAATAACACTAGCTTATGCACCACAAGCAAGACTGGAAGGTGGGTTTAAAGGAAACCAAAATACCCCCCAAAAGGCTTCGAAGTGACCCTATGGAACAGAGCAAAGCTGACCCATAGGTTTCTAAGGCTGCACATTGGTACGGAAGCAGACCACCTCATTTTTCCCCAAAAAAGCAACTACTGGGTTTGAACTGCTGACTTTTGGCTAGCTGCCCAGTGCTTAACCAAAAGCTCATAGTGCCACCGGAGGTCCAGAGGAAACTAAGGAGATCCAAGTCTCAGTCAGGGGTCTGTAAGCGTTGTCTGTGAGGGGCCAGAGAGGACATTGTCTCAGCTTGGATGGCCCACCATCTCTGCAGGAAGGCTGTCACAGAGAATACAGACACAGGCTGCAGGTGGCCCCCGACTCCTGACCTGCCTCTCACAAAATAGAGCCTGCCGCGGGCGGACTGAACTGCGCCCTCCCAGAACGTGCTGTGACCCCGCTGCTGCAGCTCCACTGGGGAGTGGGCTGTCTGTCAGGTTACTGAGGCAGGCTGAGTGTGTATCTGGAGTCAGTCTGTTCAGATCTAACAGAGACGAGAGAGACAGAGAGCAGAACCTTTCCTCCAGCCTTCCCCTGCACCCTGAACGTGAGTGTTTAGCTTCGCAGACTGTTACGGCTGCCTTTTCCCTGCAGCGTCTCTGTTACAGTGAGAAAGACCAGTGGCAGGTCTGTGGGGGAGTTGGGGCTGCTGGTTATGCTGTATGATGAGTTTTTGGGGGCCCCCCAGGGGCTGGGTGCTGGGGGAGTCTGAGCAGGCAGGGCCAGGCTACCACTTCCTACCCAGCAGGCCCCGAGTGACGATCCCTTGGATGACCACTGAACCAACCACCTTTGACTGGGTTGAGGTGACACCGTGTGTGTCAGAATAGAACTGTGCTCCATGGGTTTTCGTTGGCCTATATTTCACAGTCCTGGTGTAGCGCTGTGGGATAATGCACTGGACCACAAGGTCAGGCTGAACCACAAGACTGGTGGTTCAAATATACCTTGGAAACCCTGTACAGTGACTTGGAGGCACTTCACACCAACAATACCGCTTCAGAAGCAGCTGGCCAGGCTGGTCTTCCCAGGGGTCTCTTGGCTAGCAGAGAGGATGTTCACAGTTCGCCCTCCCAGGGACCCCCTCCCAGGGACTCCCAGTTGACAAGCAGGCTCAGGGAATAGTAGGGTCCTGCCTGGTGGCTGGAGGCAGAGAGACAGGGACAGCCCACCCTCAGCCAGGCGGGAGCACTCACTGGCCGCCTCCATCATGCTGGCCCAGAAGCGGGGTTGCTTGTGCAGCGGGTCGTCATCCGGCCCACTCAGCTTGTAGACGTGCACACAGGGCGGCGTGCTCACGCTGCTGTAGTGGCTGATGAACATGTCGAAGTTCTGCGGGGAGTGAGGGGCCAGCATCAGCTCAGAGACGCTGCCGCTGGGCATCCTGTCCCCACAAGTCTCGTCCTGTGCACCAGGTGCTGGGCAGCCTCTAGGGGCTCAGTCACCTACTACAGGTGGGAATGGGGGACTGGGTGGTCCTGGGAGCCACCCGCCTTCTGTGCAGGGACACAGGACAGACATAGAGGACGTGGGGATGGACACAGGACGGACACAGAGGAGGATGTGGGGACGGACACAGGACATAGAGGACGTGGGGACAGACACAGGACGGACAAGAGGAGGACGTGGGGATGAACACAGGACGGACACAGAGGAGGACGTGGGGATGGACGTAGGACAGACATACAGGAGGACGTGGGGACGGACACAGATGGACAAGAGGAGGACATGGGATGGACACAGGACAGACATACAGGAGGATGTAGGGATGGACACAGGATGTACATAAAGGAGGACGTGGGGATGGACACAGGACGGACATAGGGGAGGACGTGGGGATGGACACAGGATGGACATAGAGGAGGACGTGGGGATGGACACACGACGGACATAGAGGAGGACGTGGGGATGGACACAATGGATGGACAGGAGGACAGTTTGGGGCTCACCTGGCTCATGGAACAGCTGTGGGAGAAGCCGGGCATGGTGAGGCGTACAATCTCGCCAGCGTCTGCGTAGCTGACCACATAGAGGTGGTGCTCCAGCGGCGTGTCCTTGGTGGCCTGGAAGTACACCAGCTTCGTCTCCTCGTTGACCCAGATCTGTGGGGATGGATCTCCTGTTACACGGCCGGGCCTGGACCTCGGGAAGATGTGCTAGAACACGCCCTGGGAGGCTGGGGCACCACCAGAGGCCGCACCCTCCTGCAATGGCTGGCCTGCCGGATCTGGGGGACACACTGATCCCCAGGCTGGGCTCCCTGCAGATTCTCGGGCAGGACTGAATTTGCACCCCAGTTCCAACAACTCCCCCAGGGCTGAATCAGAACAGGGGCTGGAGCGGGGTGACGGGGACCAGCACGTGTGAGACAGGCTGGGGAAGATGCCCTGGGCCCGGGGGCCTGTCAGAGCTCTAGGGCGGCCGTGAGTGGGATTGGTCCACCTCCACCAAGATGCTCAGGAGGAAGAAGGCAACGGCCTACCGTATCCACTTCCTAGGGGGTTCCCTCTGAACTCCAGAGTGGTTCTCTGGTTATCCACACCTGGTTAAGCACCCCCACAGTGGAGATGTGGGGACCTGGAAGGTCCATACTGCTAAGAGGAGTCCTCTGGCTACAGGGAGGTCCTATCTTCAGTGTGGCTAGGACGCCCACCCCCCAGAGAACGGATGCTGGTGTGAGGGTTCCCGCCTTGGGACCGGGGCCTCAGGGGTTAGTGGAGGTGGCTGAGCCTGGAGGCTGAGGCCAATGTCGACCCTGCAAGCATGAAGGAACCAGGCTCCCATCAAGGATATAGATGTGACTCTGAGTACATGCGTGTAGCCAAGTGTAAGCATGTGTGTGTGTGCATGTGCTTGTGGACATGCGTATGCCAGTGGCCATCAGTTTGTGGGGAAAGGAATGAAAAGACACCCAGGAGTCCCGCTGCAGACTCGCCGCGGCTATAAGCGGTGACGGAGGCGCACAGGCCAGGGAGGATCCTGACTCTCGGGATGATACAGCTTTGGTAAAAGCCTGAGATAAAGCTGTGGCTCTTTTAAGCAGGCTCTGAAGAATGTGACATTTGTGAAGCTTTCAAGCCAAGCCAAAAGACACGCCTAAAAGAAAACCTACTAAGAAGAAAAGGAGCCAATAGAAGAATACCACAACTCCACTGCAACAGCGGAAAGTTGGCGATAAATGTCCCGCTATTTGGTCAGAAGATGGCTGCATTTACCCAGTGACCATTGCTTCTACTGATTTCAAGAGAGAAGCCCGTGTTGTGATTGACACTGGGCATGGAAACAGTGAGGAACAAAATCTGTGTGATTCCCCTTTCCTACCTTGGAGCCGTGCCTGGCCAAGACCTCCCACTCGCCGCTGGTCAGAGCGGTCTCCTCCTTGATGGGACATTTAAACTCATCTGTAAGAAGGACAGGACAGAGGTGAATGAAGAGGGGCTCATGACACTGAGGCCAGGGCCCCTTGTAGCACACACACCTCGGAATACACTCCACCTGGAGAACAGCTCAGCTGTGGACACAGGCCTGTCAGGTCAGGGGCGGGCTGGCCGGAGACCTGAGTTGGGCAGGGACCTGACCCTCTGAGCACTCCCGGGTTGGCTCCTGGGGTCGTAGAGTCTGTTCCTACCACACAGTGGGTCTGGCACTTCTTGAGAAAACCCAGGAATTAAGACTTTACCAAACGTCTCCATTCTAGAACCCTGTGCAGGCCACGTGACCGATGCCCAGGACAGAAGGCCCTGCAAAGCACACTGGGGGCTTGAAGGACGGACACACCTTGATGCAGACTCTGTGCAAGGACTGAAGCTCAGCTGCAGTTTGGTGACAGTATTTTTTGGGGTGGACCTCACTATGGGACACCTGCTGCCACACACTAGGAGTGTGTCAGGGCGGCTCATGCAAGTCACCTAAGGGTTCTTGTCTCATCTTGCGGGTCTATAGTGAACTACAAACACATCAGTCCCTAGAGGGGGGGGCTTTCCAATGCACGAACGCAGCAGGGGGAGCAGAGAGAAGCACCCCCACAGTGGAGAGGTGGGAACACGCTGCACTGAGGCCAGGCCTGGGAGCAGAAGGGCATGCTCTGCCCAGTGTCCCTCAGGGCTCAGTGATGTCGCTACTAGGACGTCTGTCAGAACTGCGCTTCCCATTCAGACCTTCCCAACGTGTGGGACAGAGAGCACGTCAGGTCCTCTCCAGCCACTACCCTGACCCTCCACCTGCCTCCATATCCAGCCACTTCCCCACTGAGCCCCGCCACCCCCCACCCCCAGGACTTGGTGGGTCCCTCTGTCTCACTCCAAGTCAGCTCCTAGCCCTCCATGGCCACTCCTAGAAGCCCCAGCAGGCCAAGCCCTGCTACAGCCCAGGGGTCCCCCAGGGCATGTTCCTACCCCTACACCCACATTTCCACACCCTTCACAGATGTTCCTCCCCGTGCTGGACTGCCCCCAGGCCTGTCCACACAGCTGCACCCCATCCTTAGTCTTCACTCAGTGCTGCTCCCCAGATACCCCCTTAAACAGGATGTCCCGAGTTGGCCCCTGAGGCTTCTTAGTCTCGCTGTCTGAGCCTGTGTGTGGCATGTGACAGGTGGGAGCCCTCACCCACGTGATTGTGCCCCTAGGGTGCTGCCCAACACCCAGAATGGCCAGGCCGTGTACACAGTGCTGGGAACCCCAGTGTGCCTGTTGGCTCTCAGACCTTTCTGCCCCATCGGTGAGCACATGCCTGTGCTGGGGAGATTCCAGGCCTGTGAGTGACATTCAAACCTTCCCTTGTGACACCTTCAGGGACTGCTGTGTCCTACACTCAGCTCTGAGTTCCTCCTTAAATCGTCATCGTCCCCCTAGACTGGATCTGGAAGGGCCTCGAAGCATCTGGACTCCTTTCCCTCTCTCAGACCCCACATTCATCCCACCCACCAATCCACTGGGCCAGCACAATTCAACCGGATCAGCGATGGGGGGTGCTCTACCCACCGCCATGCCCCTCAGTCCGTCATCACACAGCACCAAAGCAATCGCTTTAAACTTCATTAAACCAGTGTGGGTTGTCTGCTTTAATCAGGGTCAAAGCCAAGTCTTTCCCACTGCCCACAAGGCCCTCTCTGTCCACCCTGCCTTGTCCCCTCCCCTCCCTACCCTGCCCTCCTCCTCTCTCTCTCACCATGAATCCACTCCCACCACATGGGCCTCTTTGCTGATCCTCTAGCTCACCAGGCCCGCTCCTGCCCCAGGACCTTTGCAGGGGCTGTACCATCCACAGGAGTACTCTGTCCCCAGACACTGGCTGCCTCCTCCCTCCCTTCAGTCCAGTCTCTGCTCAGCAGCCCTTTACCCAGGGTCCCTGCTGCGCTTGTCCCTGCCATACGCATCCCACAGGATATAACACCTCCAACCATTCCTGACTCTTGGTGGTCTCCTCCACTGGGACGGACCACAAGAGCAGGGAGGTGGCTTTGTTTTGTTTACAGTTATACTTCCTATGCCTCAACCAGGGGTCGGCAATGTTTTCTATAAAGAGTAAGTATTTGTAGCTTGGTATGTGGGGGTTGGAGGGTATAGTCCTTTGACACTACTCAATTCTGCATCTGCCCTTATATTTAAATGCATGGGCATGTACCAATAAAACTTTATTTACAAAAACAAGCAGAAGGCCTGCTTTGGCCCCTGGGGGACAGAATCTGCTGACCCCTGGTGGTGAAAAGGGAGGATATCAGGATGGACCGCTGCCCGAGTTCACGAGCAACCAAAAAAACCCAAACCCCACTGCTGTTGAGTCAATTTCGACTTTTATCGACCCCACGGGACAGAGCAGAACTGCCCCACAAAGTTTTGAGACTGTTAGTTTTTATGGGAGCAGATACCCTCATCTTTCTCCAGAGAAGTGGCTGGTGGGTTTGAACTGCTGATCTTGTGGTCAGCAACCCCCCAAATGCTTAAGCCATTGCACTACCAGGGAAACGATCGATTTAGAACAGAGCTTTGGTGGCACAATGGTTAAGCTAACAGAAAAGCTGAAGGTTCGAACTCACTCAGTGGCTCCACCAGCAAAAACCTGTTGTAGGGACAACAGCCTAGGGGCCCCTATGTGGCACTTCTACTCGGTCATGTGGGCGCCACGAGTCACAATCAACTCGATGGCACCCAACAACATCCTCAGACCAGGAGCCCCGGTGCACAATGGTTAAGTGTTTAGCCGCAAATCAAAAGGTGGGAAGTTCAAACTCACCCAGGAGTTTGACGGGAAGACAACCTGGTGATCTGCTCCCCTATAAAGACTATAGTCTAGGACACCCACAGGACAGTTCTACTGTCACACAGGGGTGCTATGAGTCGGATTCAGCACCCAACAATAACGACCTGGTACGATGCTGGAAGATAAATGCTTCACTGCAAGGTCACTGACCCTGCCGTTCAAATGCATCAGTTGCTCCTTGGAAACCCTATACAGGGTCACTATGAGTCAGAACTGACTCGATGACACTTATGAACAACAAGAAGCAAGCAGCTCATTAGACACTACTTATACTACTGGGGGGCCGGGGGTGAAAGGCTGAGGGTGGGCTGAGTCAGGAAGACAGCCTGCCTCAGCAAGCTGGAGGAGGCTCACCTTCCCGGGGACAGAGGGGCTCGGTCCAGTCGTAGCTGTGAGGCTTCAGCAGGACGGTGACCTTGTACAGGTGACAGAAGCCAGTCTTGCATTCGTTGGCACGGATGAAGCAGAGCTCCTCTGATCCCGAGGTCTGGGGGAAGGGGTAGAAGATGTCGTGTACCTGTTGGGAGAGAAGAGAGGTCAGGACAGTGGGGACAGGGACACAGGGCCAGGCTGGGTGGACTTTCCCATTCCCAGGGTCTAGAGATCCCTTCTCCCCCCAGGTCCTATGCGCAGCCTGTGGTGGTTGGTGCAGGGCCTGCCCTTACATTGATCCAGACATCCGTGACCTCTTCGTACACCACGTACGGCTGCGCATGCCGAGGGACGGCCCTGGCGAATGCCGCTCGCTGTTCCTCGCTCTCTGTGGCCGGGATGAACAGGGATGGGGGCAGGAGGACCAGCTGCAGTCGCTGCTGGGGTCGGTCCAGGAGCATGGCCCAGGCACTGGGGAGAGGGGGTGGGGGTCTCAGTAGGAAATGGTTCCAGAGCTTGGCCCAGGCATTGGGGACAGAGTGTGGGGGGGGTCTCAGTAGGGAATGGTCCAGGAGGAGGGGAGAAGGGCAGTAGCTTCCTTTCCTGACCCCACCTACTGCTGGGAGCTGTGGAGCTGGTTCTGACTCATGGTTCCCTGTGTGACAGAGAACTGCCCTTTTATCGGTCTTTCTCCAGTGGAGCTGCTGGATGTGCTCGAACTGCTAACCTCTTAGCAGCTGAGCACGTAATCACTGAGCCACTAGCGCTCCTGGTTCTGATGACGTTGCTATTGTGACCCTTCGAGCTGATTCCATCTCAGAGCAGCGACCCAGTGTGACTGAGAACTGCCCCATAGGGCAGAACTGTCATGAAGTAGCTGGTGAGTCTGAACTCTCCATTAGCAGCTGAGCACTTCCTTGCTGTACTGTAAGCCTCCTGCTCAATGGCTAGCTGCTCATTTACTCCTTCAGCAGTCTGTCCTGAACTCCTCCTAACTCGGACGCTTTCACCAGGGGTCAGGAGACTTTGGCCTGGGGACCAAAGCTGGCCTGTTGCTTTTTTTTGTAAGTAAAGCTTTATTGGCACATGGTCACACCCACTCACTCAAATATTACCTATGGCTACTTCTGCGGGCTTTCACTGATGAAACGCTACATATACTTTTTTCAAAATATTGATATGACCAGGGACTGGTTGTTGTTGTTAAGTGCTGTCAAGTCGGTTCCGACCCACAGTGACCCTGCACAGACCACAGCCTTCGGTATGAATTGTATCTCAATATAAAGAAAATAAAAATCCTCACCACTGGACCAATAAACAACATTCTTATCGAATGAGACAAGATTGAAGTTGTCAAGGACTTCATGCTTCTTGGATCAACTATCAACACTCATGGAAGCAGCAGTCAAGAGATCAGACAACGTATTGCATTAAGCAAATCTGCTGCACAGGAACTTTTTAAAGTGTTGAAGAGCAAAGATGTCAGCTTGAGGACTAAGGTGTGCCTGACCCAAGCCATGGTATTTTCAATAACCTCATATGCATGTGAAAGCTGGACAGTGAATAAGAAAACTGTAGAAGAATTGATGCTTTTGAGTTATGGTGTTGGAGGAGAATATTGAAAGTGCCATGGGCTGCCAAAAGAACCAACAGATCCGTGTTGGAAGAAGTGCAGCCAGAGTGCTCCGTGGAGACAAGGATGGCCAGACTTCGTCTCTCATACTTTGGACTTATTGTCACTGGAGAAGGATATCATGTTTGGTAAGGTGGAGGGTCAGAGAAAAAGAGGCAAACCTCCAGCGAGACGGGGGTCTTCCCACACCAGCCTAATGTGCCTCTAGACTTGCAGGAGCCCCCAGACTTTTCTCTCTGGGTTCAATAGCTATACTGCTTGTCTGTTTTTCCCGGTTTAGGTTTTGTTTGTTTGTTTGTTTATTCTTTCTCCTCCTACTTCTGTTTCTATTACCTTGAATTTTATCTTAGCTCCATTTTTGTTTTTCCTTCTTTTCTTCTGTTTCTCATTTCCCTACCTCTTTTCTCCTTTTGGTCTTTCTTTACTACTTTGTTTCCCTTTCCATCTTCCAGCTCCCTGGTTTTTCTATTTATTCTTATTTTTTCTATTTATTTCTCTTCTCTAACTCCATTTCCTGGTCCCTCCTTTATCTTTATGTTCATTCTTTTCTTCAGAATGCTGTTTTTATTTTTCTCTTTTTATTGTTGGTGCCTTGTTTGTTCATTCTGTTTTGTTTTCTTGTGTGTAGGGGGAGGGGTTTTCTCTTTCATGCCCAACAGGAGTCAACCACTGCGCCCAAACAGCTCAGCTGCAGCTGTACCCTCAGCAGCTCCAGTAGCTCCCATGCCACCTGTTCAACCACAGACAGCAGTCAACAGTCGCACCCACCCTAAACTGAGGGGCACAAACAGCGAATGAGAACGGTGCACATGCTCCCATTGTCTAACTACACCCACAGGAGAGAGTTAGTGAGAGCCTAAGAGCACACCAACACACAACCATCATTAAATACAAATATGCCAACTCCGAAATACCACGGAGACACCAGACAATTTTAGCTCACACTAAGAAACAACAGAGAATGGCTCAAACAAATGACCAAGATGCAGAGCCAGAAAATGTCTCTGAGGAAGAAAAGGTAACGTAATTAACTGAAAAAGAATTTGAAAGAATGATGCCTAGGTACCATCAAAGGACTGACAGAAAGATGGAGGAAAGTAAGGAGAACACAAAAATAAACTTTATAAGAATTCAAGAAAACACTACAATAAACAGACAAAATAAAGGCAAATTTTGAGACAATACAAAACCTGCAAGTAGAAATCTAGAAGATTAATTGTAAGATTTCAGAAAAGGGCAAAGGGACAGACTGAAGCAATGGAAACCCAAATTACTGAGCTTGAAGAGACATCTCTCAATACTAGTATGTTAGAAAAACAATCAGAAAAATGAACGAAAAAATCCAAAGAAAGCCTAAGAGCTATATGGGAAACCATGAAGAGGAAAACCTTATGGATGACTGGGATTCCAGAACAGGAAGAGACAATAAAAGCACAGAGAAACTTGTCAGAGTTGTTGGAAGACAATTTCCCTAACATCATGATAGATGAGAAGATAAGCTTATAAGAAACTGAACAATTCCCAAACAGGATAGATCTCAAAAGAAAATCACCAAGAAATATCACGATCAAACTTTCCAAAACCAAAGACAAGGAAAGAATCCTGAGAGCAGCTCAGGAAAGATTAAAAGTTCCCAACAAAGGAGAACCAGTAAGACTACGCTCTGATTTCTCAGCAGAAACCACACAGGTAAGAAGGCAATGGGAAGACAGACACAAGACTCTGAAGATAAAACAAATGCCAACCAAGAATCGTATACCCAGCAAAGATGTCCCTTCAATACAAGAGTGTAGATAAACAGAAATTAGAGGAATTTGTAATGAACAGACCAACTTTACAAAAAAAAAAAGCTAAACGGTTTTTTTCTAAATGAAAATCAACAAGAGCAGACAACAACCTGGGACTCCAACACATGACAACAGCACTCGGAACTCAATCCAGCTACGCTGCTGGTGAATCGGTTTCAACTCAGTTACCCTGTATATACACGGTTTCTAAGGAGAAGCTGGTGAGTTTGGACTGCTGACCTTGTTGTGGTAAAGTGCTTACCCATAATGCCACACCAGGACTCCCAATCCACATATGTTGTTGTAAGGTGCCATCGAGTCGGTACTGACTCATAGTGACCTTATGCACAGCAGAACAAAAAACTGTGATCCAGGGCCAACTTCACTATTATTGCCACGCTTGAGCCCACTGATACTGCCACTTTGCCAATCCATCTCGCTGGGGGTCTTTCTCTTCTTCTCTGACCCTCCACCTTACCAAACATGATATCCTTCTCCAGTGACTAGTCCCTTCTGACAATATGTTCGAAGTATGAGAGACAAAGTTTGCCCATCTTGGCCTCCAAGGAGCACTCTGGCTGCACTTCTTCCAAAACAGATCTATTGGTTCTTTTGGCAACCCATGGCACTTTCAGTATTCTCCTCCAACACTACAACTCAAAGGCATCAATTCTTCTATGGTCTTCCTTATTCCCTGTTCAGCTTTCAAATGCATATGAGGTGACTGAAAATACCATGGCTTGAGTTAGGCACACCTTAGTCCTCAAGCTGACATCTTTGCTCTTCAACACTTTAAAAAGTTCCTGTGCAGCAGATTTGCCTAATGCAATACGTTGTTTGATTTCTTGACTGCTGCTTCCATGAGTGTTGATAGTTGATCCAAGAAGAATGAAGTCCTTGACAACTTCAATCTTTTCTCTGTTGATAAGAATGTTGTTTATTGGTCCAGTGGTGAGGATTTTTGTTTTCTTTACATTGAGATATGTTATTGTTATGTGCCGTGGAGTTGGTTCCGACTCATAGCGACCCTGTACAGGGTTTCTGAGGCTGTAAATCTTTATGGGAGCAGAAAGCCTCATCTTTCTCCCGCAGAACAGCTGGTAGTTTCCAACTGCTGACCTGGTGATTAGCAGCCCGATTTGTAACCACTATGCTACCAGAGCTCCTTACATTGAGATATGTTGATGTTGTGGTTGTTAAGTGCTGTCGAGTATACTCCGACCCATAGCAACCCTGTATAGGGTTTCCAAGGAGCAACTGGTGAGCTTGAACCACCGACCTTGCAGTTCAAATGACTTTGCAGTCTGATGCATTAGCCCACAGTGCCACATCAGGACTCCATACATTGAGATATAGAAGTATTTAAATCCAGATATAGAAGTATTTAAAGTAAAGCAAACTTACAAGACTGAAAATAGGGAGCCAGAGATATCAATAAAGTCAACTAGAGAGCAAAAAGAGGGAATACTGTAGCTACAGAACTTTCAAGTGACAAGGAAGTGAAGTATATTTCAAGATAAAACAGACTGTTTCAAACAGTGGGGAAAAAAATTATAGGATAACCTAGAATTTACCCTGAAAATGAATCAACCTGCATATCAAAATGAAAAAAAGAGGAAAATCAGAAAGATTTAGTAAACATCAATACAACAGAAACCAAAATGAAACGAAAACCCACAAACAAAATGAAATCAGCACAGAAAATTACACGGAACAAAGAAACTAGAAGAATCACAAAAAACAACACACAGCAAAATGACAGCAAGCGCTTCGTACCTACTGACAATTACGCTAAATGTAAATGGATTAAACGCACCAGGAAAGAGACAGAGAAAGTCAAATGGATGAAAAAACAGGCTCCTTCCATATGCTGTCCTCAGGAGACAAATCAAAAAGGCTGGAGCCAGCCTACGTGTCCATAAACAGAAAAACAGTTGAACCAACTTTGGTACATGCACACAATAGAATACTACAAAAATGTTTGCTGAACAATGGTGAATATGCGAAACACCTCACTGCATGGATGAACCTGGACATTATGCTGAATGAAATCGTTGTTGTTAGGTGCCGTAGAGTTGGTACCAACTCATAACCTATGCCCAACAGAACGAGACACTGCCTGGTCTTGTGCCAACCTCACAATTGCTGCTATACTTGAGCCCAATGCTGCCGCCACTGTGCCAATCCATCTCATTGCGAATCTTCCTGTTTTTCACTGACCCTCCACTCTACCAAACATCATGTCCTTCTCGAGGTAACACATCCTAAGTATAGAGAGATGATAGATCTTGGCTTCTAAGGAGCATTTTAGCTGTACTTCTTCCAGCACAGATCTGTTGGTTCTTTTGACAGCCCATGGCACTCTTAATATTCTCCTCCAACAACGTAACTCAAATGCATCGATTCTTCTATGGTCTTTATTCATTGTCCAACTTTCACATGCATATGAGGCTATTAAAAACACCATGTTTACTCAACACTTTAAAGAGGTCTTGTGCAGCAGATCTGCCTAATGCAATGTGCTTCTTGGCTGCTGCTTCCATGACTGTTGATGATTGATTTGAACAAAATGACGTCTTTGACAGCTTCCATCTTTTCTTCATTTATCTTGATGTTATTTTATTGGTCCAGTGGTGAGGACTTTTGTTTTCTTTACATTGAGGTGCAACCCATACTGAAGGCTGTGGTTTTTGATCTTTATCAGTCAGTATTTTAAGTCCTCTTTGCTTTCAGCAAGCAAAGTTGTATCATCGGCGTATTGCAGGTTGTTAACGAGTCTTCCTCCAATCCTGATGTCACGTTCTTCTTCATATAATCCAGCTTCTCTAGTTATTTGCTCAGCATACAGATTGAATAAGTATGGTGAAATTAGTGCATCACAAAAGACCAAATATTGTTGAGAACTAAGTTATAAAAAGCTCAGAAAAGGTTTTCCTAATAAAATAAACAATCTGTAATGGTAAGGGGTGGGGAGAGGAGGGAAAATTATTCGTGGGGTAGAGGGCAGACTTATGTTAACACAGGTGACAGTGATAGGGTAGGCAATATATAAGAGGGAGGTTAGCAGAGGAAAGATGAAGGAAGAGGGAAGACACTGGGAAGAACGCAATAGTTAAAGTGAATTGAGGTAAATACTGTTAACTGATGACACATGAGGGGGTTGCAATCATTGTAATGAAGCAAAGTACATGATTTGCTGAACGTAAAACTGATGATCTGCTCCATAAACCTCCACTCAATTCACAATGAAAAGTTGAAAAAAATAGATAAATAAAATAAAGCAAGGCAACGTCCCTGTTCTTGCGGCCCGTTTCGGTGGGGAGACCACCAAGGGTCACAAATGGTTGGAGGTGTTCTGTGCGGCAGGATGCGTAGAGCAGGGACAAGCACAGCAGGGGCGGGGTGAGCGGGAACCAGGGGTCCTGGGTAAAGTGCTGCTGAGCAGAGACTGGACTGGAAGGCGGGAGGGTTAGCAGCTGAGCACTGAACTGCTGCGCCACCAGGGTCCCTCAAGTCCACCTACACTTGACCTAGCATCCCGCATGGTGGAGGGTCCTTCAAGAGAGTTCAGCCTTAGAGGAAGGTAAGTGGTTCACTAAACTCCCAAATCTGAGGATTCCGGTAGCAACGTGCCACAAGGTCATCTGAAAACCATGTTTCACAATCTTCAACTTCTGCCAAACCCTCAGCCCACTGGGACTATTGTTGATTTTAGATTTGGCCATAAACGAACGGAGTTCCTGGTGATACACTGGTTACACTTTCAACTGCTAAGTGAACTGTGCCTGTTTAAGGTTCGAGTCCACCCACAGGCATATTGGTTTTGAGGAAAGCCTGGTGCGGCAAGGTGAATTACTTAACACGGCCCTTGTATCTACTGTCTTGTAACTCCCACCAAAAGATTGGGTGGGCTATGCCAATAAGAAGCTATGGCCCACCATGAGGATGGGACAGCTTGCTAACAATACAAGGCACATAGCAACCTTGTAGGTGTGTTGGTGTTGTTGTTAAGTGCCATCAAGTCGGTTCCGACCCATAGTGACCCTATATTGGATTTCCAAGGAGCAGCTGGTAAGCTTGAACCACCGACCTTGCAGTTCAAGCCGCTTTGCAGTCTGGCGCATTAACCCACAGCGCCACCCCAGGCCACACAAGTTCAGTGCATGGAAGGAACCCTAATTTTGTCACCCCACTAGGCTTAAAAGGGAGCTAATTCCAAAATCTCACCAACACCAAGAAAGAGATGGGAGTGGAGTGTGTTCTTCAGACGTGGGGTCCCTGTGCTACAAATTTCCTGACCCAGGAGTCAGAACTGTAACAACAGACACTGGAAGACACGGTAGGAGCCCCACATTCTGGCCCAGAGAGAAAGGGCGAGTTGGGCACCTTCAGGAAGAGGCTTTGAGTGGGACCCCTCCATGCATCATCAGATAACACTGCAGAGCTTGCGATACTTGTCCAAGCAGAGCAGAAGCTGGGCCAACTCAAGAGGTCCAAGGGTAAGGGCTGAGAGGCTGAGGGTCAGGGCTAGGCCTACGGCTGAGAAGACGCTGCTCTGACTGAAGAACTGTATCCCCAGTCAGCTCTGATCCCAATTGCAGCCTGCTACTTCTGGTCCTGGTGTGGCGCTGTGGGTTAATGCACCAGATTGCAAAGTCGCTTTAATCACAAGGTTGGCGGTTCAAGCTCACGTGTCACTCCTTGGAAACCCTATACAGGGTCGCTGTGGGTCAGAATCGACTCGACAGCACTTAACAAGAATAAAGCTTCCCTAATAGAACTCCTGGTGTGGCACTGTATGATCAGCACTGGGTTGCGAACCCCGAGGCCGGCAATTCAAACCTACCAGCTACTCCTTGGAATGCCTATGCAGCGTTGCTATTAGTCGGAACTGACTTGACGGTTCATAACAACAAACCCACCAGCCGCTCTGTGGGAGAAAGATGAGGCTTTCTGGTCCCGTAAAGATTTACAGACTCAGGAACTCTATACAAGTTCCTTATGCATTGGAACCAACTTGGTAGCACCTAATAGCAAGTTTCCCTGATAACTCTCAGAATTGTGAGTCCTGTCGGTGAGTTCTGTCTGGACATTGCAAGGAGTCCTTGAACCCAGCAAAGGGAGTGGGCAGCAGGAGATCTACAGCCCCCCAAAACTCCAGGGAGCACACTTCTACTCTGACACATTTAGCTGGAGCCGACACCACAGCAACTGGCTGGATGTTGGTTAAAAAAAAAAGGGGGGGGCGCATTTCAAAGGCGAGAGGACCATGTCTACAGATGGAACAAAGATGCGGCAAGTGAATTCAGATCAAACAGTAAGGCGGCCTGGAATGGATTCAAGTCAGGATGACCCCGCATCTCCAGAGCACAACTGTGCTCCACAGGGTTTTCGTGGCTGAACCCTTTCAGGAGCAAATTGACAGACCTTTCTTCTGAGATGCCTCTGGGTGGTTCTAAACCGCCCATCTTCTGCTTAACTACCTGGCATTGAATGATCTGTGGCTCCCAAGGACTTTAGTAACACTGCAGAGGTGAAATTCTAATGACAGCCTGTTTCGTGTCAAAAGTACTGGGCCTGAAACCTCCCCAGAGCTCCGGGAGTCCAGCCAGGGACCTGCACAGAGCTGAGGGAAGGGTCAGCCAGAGGCACTGCCAGCTCAGTCAGGGTCTCTGGGTCTCTGCTGAGATTTCTGGCTCAGCCACAGCAGCAGGCAAGCTGTTGACAACTGCAGCGTCTGGCCTCTTATCTCCATACACTGAGACACGGACTGTGAATTTCATCTCACTTTCATGTGGGATGGTTCCCCTCCCTTTCTGCCAGCATTTAAAACTGTCACAAACCACCCCTTCATTTCTAGAGCACTAGGCAGAGGGACAGATCTAGGCCCTGGGCTGTAGTGTGAGGCCCTGGTGTGAAAACAGATGTCCCTCCTCGACAGAAACAGAAGGATAGGGACTACTGAACAGGGAGCAGACATTCGTATTTGTGACGTTTTACGTTGCAGTACCTTTGAGTGAAAGCTGTGTTCTGTATTCTAGTATGGGGCTCACTGCAGGCCCCAGGCCTCTGAGAAGGAGGAGGGGGATGGGAGGGTGAGCCCTGGCTCTTGAATCCCAGGTGGAAGGGACACACATTGCTTCATGCCATGGAAGCCTGACCATGAGCCTGGGACCAATGGGGGAAACAAGAAAGGTGCCCGAGTAGCAGCCAATTTTGAGGGGAAGGAGTGAGGTCTTCGGACTGTAAGTCTGTGTTCCTGGGTCCTGGGTTCTGGCTGCACCCCAGGGGCCCCATGACCAGGACCTGGACACCCAGTGAGCTGGCTGTTGCCTGGCTGGCGCTCGGCAGTGAGCTTGGGAGGCAAGGGGCCCAGGCTGGACACTCACAACTTGCCGTCCCGGGTCCAGCCGGCCCTGGCGATGTACTCCACCTGGGGGAAGAAGGAGCTGAAAGGTTGCACCAGCTCCTTCTCCTGCGCTGAGACCACCTGGAGGGAGAAGAAGCTCTGGTCACGGCCCCTCGGAGGGGGGCGGGCAGAGTCAGAGCCTGGTGTCCTTAGGCAGAACACAGCCACTGGACCCACGTGGGAGGGTGTGGCGCAGGAGGGAGGGAGGGAGGGAGGGAAAGAGAAAACCAAGGGAATGAGGGCAGGAAAGGAAGGAAGGACACAGGCCACCATGGCTTTCTCCCCACTTGCCCAGCTGGCCCCGCCCATGTCTATCCCTGCTGCTCCCAGGGATCGGAGGGAATAGGGAACCGCTGGAAGAAGCACAGAGTAGAAGAGGGGCTGAGAGGAGGCCAGGAGACCCAGGCACCCTGCCTTCACACCTGGGGACACTTCCGCACACCTCCCGACCACCCAAGGAAGAGAGCCCAGCCTCAGCACTCCTCTTTCCAGATGAGGAAGAGACCGAGGTTCAGAGGGACAGCCCAGAGCGGGTCTCGGAGGACACGCCTGCATACTGGGTGCACTCAGCTGGCCGTGAGGAGCACACAACCCAGGAGGGAGGCACACCTGGCCCGCTTACCTTGCCCTGATTGTCCACCTGGAATTCTGCCAGCTTCAAGGCAATCCTGGGATTCTTGCTGCCTGCGAAGAACCAAGGCAAGGAGAGCGTGTGGCGGGGGCAGCCTGCACTTGTCGAGGCTGCAGGGCTGTCCTTGGGGTGTTACCCTTGGAGCTTGTCTCTTTTCTGGGTCCACCTGCTACTCCTCAGTAGCATCCCTGCATGTCTTCTATGGGTACATCCTGGCTGAAGGCTACTCTTACTCTACAGAGGGCACGAGGTTGGCTCAACAAACACACACACACATATTGCAGAGGGGCCAAAAAGTAACTGCAGGTGTCGGCGCGACAGAAAAAGAAAGCTAGAAAGCTGGAGGCTGAGAGGCCGAGGCGGGCCCTGCCAGGAGGGTGTGTGCTGCGATCCTGCTCTGCATTAATGGACGTCTGCAAATTGCCACCTGGCTCCTGCTTGCAAGCGGCGGCCTACGTGCAAAGAATGCGTCTGACTTTTTTTTTTTAAATGGGTCAAAACATGGAAAAAAATACTAAAGGAAGGTTATTTTGTCACATGTAAAATGATACTGAAGTTGACCAATAAAGTTTTATTGGCACACAGTCAAGCCCATTCATGGCTGCTTTAAGGCAACGGCCGAGGTGAGCAGCTGGAACAGAGACCATCTGGCCTGCGGAGCTGAAAATATTACTCTCTGGCTGTGCTCGTTAAGGTTTTGTATCCACTTGGCTGTGCTAGGATTCTCAGTGGTTTGTCAGTTGAGATGTCGTAGTCTCCCATCAAGAGATCTAATATAATGTAATCACCCCCATGATGTGATTGGAAGTGTTCAGCCCTGATCTGATCTAATTACCTTATGTGAGGTAAATTCTCTTCTCTCTGGTAGCGTAGAGGTTACGAATTGAGCTGCGAACTGCAAGGTCAGCAGTTCGAAACTACCAGCTGTTCCGGGGGAGAAAGATGAGGCTTTCTGCTCCCATAAAGATTTACAGCTTTGGAAACCGTATAGAGTCACTATGAGTTGGATCCGACTCCATGGCACATAACAACAACAACAACCACGTTAATGAAAGAGCTCCGGTAGCACAGTGGTAACGAGTTGGGCTGCTAACCTCAAGGTCACCAGTTTGAAACTACCAGCCATTCTGTGGGAGAAAGATGAAGCTTCCTGCTCCTGTAAAGATTGATGATCTTGGAAACCTTATACAGGGTCGTTATGAGTCGGAACCGATTCCATGGCATACTACCACCATCACCACCACCACGTTAACGAGGCTGGATTTAACCTATAGGTTGTCTCTTGAGTCAATCTCCTTTGAGATGTAAGAGGGATTAAACAGGCAATCAGAGCTCAGAAGGACCATTTACCACCAAGAAAGAAGAGCCGGAGTGGAGTTCCTCCTTTGAACCTAGAGTCCCTGCCCTGTGAAGTTCCTGGATCCAGGGGAAGACTGATGCCAAGACCCATGGAGCTCTCCCAGGAATGCTGGGTCTGCAGATGCTGAGAGGGGACCAGGAGCTCTTCCCAGAGATGACAGAGAGAGAAAGCAAGCCTTCCCCTAGAACTGGCACTCAGAATTTGAACTCTGAGTTTCCTAAACTGTGAGAGAATAAATTTCTGTTTGTAAATGCCACTCCCTTGTGGTGTTTGCATTAGAGCAGCACTGGAGAACTGAGGCGCCGGCTCTTCAAGGAAACAGCTTGCCGACCTTGGAGTGCTGGGAGATGGAGGGGCTTCCTGGGCAGGGCTAACTTCCCAAGGGCAGATACTTCTCTGCTGTCTTGCTGGTGCCCATTGTTGAGGTCTGATCACCCAGGCCTCAGGGCCTAGGCCGCTGGCCCGTCCACACTCACCTGTCCTGGGATAGCGGTATGAATCCGTCTTCCTTTCTTCTAGGGCCGGAGATGGGACGTGGATGATCTCCACCTCTGACTCATCGACTTCCTCATATAAAATTCGTAGCGTCTTGAGGCCTTCTGAACCTTGAGGGGAAGGAACAAAGGTTGCTGCTGACTCCGTCAGGGGCTGTTGGGGGAACCAGGGCACGGTCAGAAGTCCCTGTTCTTAGCTCCCTTCTGGTGGCACACATGGGGGTGCAGATGCAGGCGGCTGAGCCTGGCATCCAGGATAAGTGCTCCGGAGCTGCAAGAGTCCCAGTCCTGCCAGGTGCATGCCCTGAGTCCTCAGTTTCCTTATCCGTACAATGAGAACACGAACGGAGCAATTTCAGCAGCACAAAGAGGCCTGGGCACAGAGAAGGAGTGTCGTCAAAACCACGGGAGGCCAGGGAATCCTGGCATGGCAGGAACTTAGAGAGGGGGAGGCCCCTCTAGGAAGAGGAGGCGAGAATGGTGGCCCACCTGAGGACGGCTGTCCAAGTTACTGAATTGTACATACAGAAGTGACAAGTGTCCTGCTGCGACTAGTTCTCAACAACAGGCATGGTGCTGATACCCAGAGACAAGGCCTACTGCCACTCCCTCCTTAGCCGGAGAAGATTTCCTCTATAAACTGACAAATGGAAGTTTCTAGAAGTCAGACCGCACACCACCAAGGTACGTGAGGTCTCACATAGTGGCCTTCTCCATGCCAGCTTTACAGAGGGGGCGGCTGAGGCTGGGAAGGGTGACGTGGCTGGTCCAGGGTCTTACGGGTTGGAATCGCCATGCTAGGCAGCCTTTGCGGGGCATGAAGGGCTCCATGGCCTCAGTATCTGTCAGTCAGGAAGGCACTGCAGGGGCTGCCAGAGCCGAGAAAGAGCTGCATGTCCAACAGCACCCTGACCAAACGCTCTGCTGCTCAGGGACACTGGACCTGGATCCTGCCTGAACCAGCTACAGAACCTCAAATTCTTAAAGAATCCAGACTTACTGGACCCAGTGAGGCTGGAGGGCTGCCCTGAGCTACTCTTCAAACCTTGACTGAATGGACCCTGAAGTCACCTTTAAAGGGAGAAAGACTTTAGCTCAAGAAACAGGTTGTTGCTTTGAGTGTGGCACAGACTGGGAGACACCACATCACTGATGAGTACACGTGGAAAACAGTGAGGTGGGAGCGGGCTTTGATGATGTCTGTTTTCTCTAAATATAAAACATTAATTAACACACAAACCAACAGAACACCAGAGGCGGCCCTGTGGCACCGGCTAACAAGAAGGCATCACAGAGAACGCCCGCTCCCCTTGGCCTCTCTTTGGCAGTGGCATCCAGTGATTTTCTCATAGGGGTCTCGATGCTGCAGAGGCACAGAATAGAGTACGGGTGTGTGTGTGTGTTGGGGGGTAGACAGTGAGCATGCTTGGCCACTAATGGAAGACTGGAGATTCAAGTTCACCCAGGGGAACCTCAGAAAAAAGGCCTGGTGATCTACTTTTAAAAAATGAGTCACTGAAAACCCAGCCGTGCTCTGTCTGAAGTGCGGAGGTCACCAGGAGTCAGGACTTGGCGGGAGCTGGTTTCTACAGTTATGTAGATAACAAAGAGTCTGTCACTGTGTGTGTATAATTCGTTGAACTCACAACACTTGCAACCATCACTTTCTGTTCCCAGATGTTTCTTCTCGTCCCCAAATGAACTCGGTGTCCCTATAAAAGCCACTTCCAGTCCCCGGCCCAGCCCAGCCACTGGGAAACGCTGACAGCCTTTGTTCTCTATATGTTTGCTAGCCCTTGGCTATTTTGTACAAATGGGAGCACATGCGTTCCTAGACTCTGACTAATCTCACACACACTCTGGTGGCGCAGTGGTGAGGTGCTTGGCTGCTAATTGGAAGGTTTTTTCCGAAGGAGAAAAATCTGGCAGTCTGCTCCCATAAAGATGGCTGCCTCGGAAGCCTAGGGGCAGTCTCCTCTGCTCTACAGAGTGGCTATGAGCCAGAACCACCGCGGCCAATCCAGGTTGAATGTTACTGAGCAGCACGTTTTCACGTTTCCGATGTGGCGGCATTATGGCAGTACTGTTACACTGAGGGGAGGGACCACGTTTTGTTCATCCATCCAGACGCTGGTCGACACTTGGGCTGTCTCCACCTTTTGTTTCCTGTGAACAGTGCCACAGTGGACCCTAGTGTGTTGTTGCTGGGTGACACTAAGGCCATTCTGGCTCAGAACGACCCTAATGGCAGAGTAGAATGGCCCCCTAGGGTTTCCGAGGCTGCCATCTTTATGCGAGCAGATCACCAGGTCTGTCTCCTGAGGAGCCGCAGGGTGGGTTTGAACCACTGATCTTTGGGTGCGCAAGCAAGCATCTGACTTTTGTGCCACCAGGGCTTCCCGAACACTGGTGTCCATGCCCTCGTGTTACTGTCACGCCAGTGGGTCTGGGTTTCCGTTTCTGGCAGGAATATAAAGCTCTTTGGAAATGCATCTGTTACGGCATGCTGATTTTCAGGCAGAATGAACAGTGAAGGAGTGGTGCACGGATTCTGAAGAGCCTGCAGCGTGGACAGGAGTGGCCCCGGCCTCCACTGAGAAACGCAGATGTGCTGAGGTCACAGAGGAATCCATCTGCAGTGGAGACTTGGCCCAGGCCAGCTCCCAGAGCCAAGAAAGTCTTGGCTGGGCGCGTGTGAACAAGGTGACCTCAATTCCCCTGCTATTCACTGCGGCCAGGGGGCTGAGGCTGCTGCCATGTCCCAGGAAACAGGGCCCCTGGCTCAAAGGCCGGACTCCAGTTGAGCGAGTAAGGGAGGAAATTAGATGCCCCTGCTCGTGGCAGGCAGAAACCCGGAGACACAAAGAGACACACTGAGTAGGTTTCTTTCAAAAACCGCTGGCAGCCTCCACTGTGCTAGGAAGTGTGTGTATCTTCGACTCTGCTTTCTAAGCGAGGGATTCTTCTCTACTGCAGGCCTCTGCTAACACAGGGGCCGGACCCTTCTCTGAGGTGGGAGCTGTCCTGTACACCACAGGGAGCTGAGCAGCATCTCTGGCCTCCACCCACTCGGTGCCAGGGGCACTTCTATTTCAACCCTCAGCTGTGCCAGCCCCAAATGACTTCAGACACTGCAAACATCTCCTGATGGGGACAGATCCCCCCGTGTGAAGACATTCATCATAGACTTGTTAACACCCAAAGCAAAACCCGCCTCTGAGAAGCGTCAAAGTGCAATGACGTCAGCTGGAGGACTAAGGGGCACCTGACCCAAGCCATGGTATCTTCAGTCACTCATAAGCATATGACAGTTGAACAATGACTAAGGAAGATGGTAGAAGAATTAATGCATTTGAAATTATGGTGCTGACAAAGAATTTTGAAAGTGCCATGGACTTCCAGAAGAACAAACAAATCTATCTTAGAAGAAGTGCAGCCAGAATGTGCCTTAGAAGCCAGGATGGCCAGACTTCGTCTCTCCTACTTCAGAGATATTGTCAGAAGGGACCAGTCCCTGCAGAAAGCCATCGTGCTTGGTAAAGCGGAGGATCGGCAAAAAAGAGAAAGATCCCAAAAAAAGAGGCTGACAGAACTGCGGCAACAATGATCCCAAACACGATGATTGCGAGGCGGGCGGAGACCGCACAGTGGTTCATTCTGTTGTGCGCAAGGCCACTCTAAGTCACAAGATACTCCCGTAAAGACGAGTCTAGAAAACTCTGTGGGGCAGTGTGGTTCTGCTCTGGGTTCAACGTGACTCCATGGCACACAACCCCCTAGTGCAGAAGGTCAGGTGTCTACCGCATTAACACCACACAGAAGACTGTCACTGCCTTAACCCCCTGTGTGTCACAGGTGAGGCAGCTCCAAAAAGTTTCTGGCAAATGGAATGAGACCGTCATGTATCGTCGACGCAGTATCCTCTTGTTCTGTTCGAATGATTGCCTCTTGGTTCCACATGAGCACAATTAAGCGTTCTGGAATTCCCATTCTTTGCAATGCTATCCAGTTTGTTATGATCTACACAGATGGATTTTATTGCATAGTCAATAAAACACAAGTAAACATCTTTCTGGTATTCTTTTTAAAGCCCCTCCTATTTTGTTTCTAATAAAAACAAGAATCTTTCTATGTACACTTGTCTATTTTAACAGAGCTGTAACAAGGGGACTTGAAAAAATTCATGGGAAATCGAATTACAATGTTTTGAAGGCTCTAGCACACTTCCTGGCATCCTGGTGCAGCACTGGACCGCAAGGTCGGCGGTTCAAATTCACCAGCTGCTCCTCGGAAACCCCATAAGGAGTCACTATGAGTTGAAACCGACTTGATGGCACTTAATAACAAGAGTCTACTTCCTTGTTTCTTTCACTTAAAATAATCTTCAGGCATCTTTCGAAATCAACATGGAGAAAACTTGTCAATGACTGGAGACTCCCCGCTTGCACGGTCTCCCATGGTTCACAGGAGTCTTGGTGGCAAGACAGTCCAGCACTTCACTGCTCCTAGCAGCTCCACGTAACAGTGTCAGTAAAGACCACGGCCAAGAACCCCCTGTGGAACAGCTCTACTCTGTTGCTAGGCGTTAAAAATCGATTTGCCAACACCCAGCAATATCTCTGTGCTTTTACGGATTTTGTTAGGTGCCGTCAAGGTGGTTCTGACTCATAGCAAGCCTGTGCACAACAGAATGAACACAGCCCCATCCTATGCCCTTCTCACAGTTGTTACGTTTGAGTTCATTGCTGCTACCACTGTGCCAACTCAGCCTACTGGGGGTCGTCCTCTTTGTCTCTGTCTCTCGACTTTACTTAGCTTGGATGTCCTTCTCCAGGGACAAAGAGTGAGAGATGAAGTTCCGCCATCTGCACTTCTAAGGAGCATCTGGCTATCCTTTCTCCAAGACAGATTGGTTTGTTCTTCTGTCAGGTTCGTGGTACTTTCAACCTTCCTCTCCAACATCAAAATTCAAACACATCAATTCTCTTCTGGCCTTCCTTACTCATTGTCCTGCTTTGAAAATACATGGCGTGGGTCAGGTGCACCTTAGTCCTCAAAGCAACATCATGGCTCTTGAACATTTAAAAGAGGTCTTTTGTAGCAAATTTGTCTAATGCAATATGTTGTTTGATTTCTAGGCTGCTGATTCCATGCGTGTTGATTGTGGATCCAAGTAAAATGAAGTCTTGGACAACTTCAATCTTTTTAATCATAATGTTGTCAATTGGTCCAGTTGCGAGGATTTTTATCTTTACACTGAGGTGCAATTCATACTGAAGGCTGCAGTCTTTGATCTTCATTAGCAAGTGCCTCAAGTTCTTGTCACTTTCAGCAAGTAAAGTTGTATCATCTGCATATGGCAGGGTGGCCTTCCTCCAGTCCTGAGGATGCCTTCTTCATATAATCCACTTTCTTGGATTATCTGCTCAGCATGCAGCCAGAATAAAGTACGGTAAAAGGATACAACCCTAATGCACACCATTCCTGATTTTAAACTACACAGTATTCTCTTGTCCTACTTGAATGACTGCCTCTTGGTTCCACATGAGCACAATTAAGTGTTCTGGACTTCCCATTCTTTGCAATGTTAGCCACAGTTTGTTATGAACTACACAGTTGGATTTAGCTGCATCGCCAATAAAACACAAGTAAACATCTTTCTGTTTATTCTCTGCTTTCAGCCAACATCCATTTGATGTTAGTAATGATGCCCTTGTTCTATGTCCTGTTCGGAATCTAGCTTGACTTCCTGGTCACTCCCTGTCGATGTACTTACTGCTCCAACCATTTTTGAATCACCTTCAGCAAAGTCTGACTTGCTTACAATACTGATAGTTTGATGGTTCCCACATTCCTCAGGCTACCTTTCTTTGGAATGGGCACCCATATGGGTCTCTTCTGGTTGGCTAGGTAACTAACTGTCTTCTGAATTTCCTGGCAGAGGCTACTGAAGCAAGCATTCGAGTGCTTACCTGTTGTACCATCAGGACTCTGTCAAAATCCAGGGGACTATGCAAGACCAAGGCTGAGCCCTACCCCAAACCTGGACCTGTGGAGCTGTGTCCACCTCCCATGGACCTTTTGGGTCAGAGGAATACTCAATAGCCGCGGTCTTTTGGAAGCAGAACACCAGGCTTTTCTTCCGAGACACCTCTGGGTGGATTTAAAGCTCCAACCTTTCAGTTAGCAGTTGAGTGTTTACTGGTTTGCACCACCCAGGAACTCTAGCACAAACTGCTTTACTTCAGAGTTCAGACTAATGTATCCAAACTGCTTTATCAGTTGTAGCGAGTGTGTTGCTTGAATAAAAGCTGTAATATACTTGTTACAATGGGAGAAAGAGACACAGCATATACTCTGTACAGTTTTTTCATGCAACCTGAAACTGCCCTAAAAAACTCATGTTTGTTCCTTAAGACAAGAAAGAGACAAAACAGGCCTACCTTCCCAGGAGGCGGTGGGACACCACCAGTACCCAGTGAAGCGGTCAAACTCTTCCTGAATGACAAAGGTGGCTACGCCGGCTGACTTGGGGTCATCTAGGACATTGGACAAACCTGGAGGAGGCAAGACAGACAGACACAGGAGTCTAGCAATTAGGCTTTCTGCTCCTGCAAAGATTTACAGCCTTGGAAACCCTACAGAGGGTTGTTAGGCGTTGCAACCGACACGACACCACAGAACAGCAACCAGGGAGTGCTGGTGTGGCTGCAGGGTAGACACTGGACTGCTAACTGCAAGGCTGGCAGTCCAAACCCATCAGTCACTGGCTTCCTGACGGCACACAGCCACAACAACTAGGGAGCTCTGGTAGCACCAATGGCTAAGCTGATCTATAAAGGTCAGTGGTTCCGACCCACTCAGCGGCTCTGCGGGCAAAAGACCTGGCGATCTGCTCCTTGAGGACGGCAGCCTAGGGAACTCTCTAGGGTACTTCCAGACTGCCATGAGGACCCTAACAAAACCCCACCCCACCCCCACAGTACAGCGTGGCTCTTGGTGAGAGTACACAGGAGACCAACCAAGAGACCATGGGAGGGCCTGTGGAATGTTCTCCAGGTGGGGCCATCCTGTGTGCTCCACTCGGTGGGTGTGAGCGCCCCCAGCCGTGACCACTGGCAGTGACCCCTGTGTGAGATGGACTGTGGGGAGGTCTGCAGATATCCGAGGGAGGATGGGGTGAGAGTGGTCTCAGGGAACCCAGGGGGTGAGTAGGGACAAGGTTATCCCAACCTGAATGGGGTCAGACACACGTTGGGCTGAGGGCACAGAGGAGCGAGGATTGAGGGGGAGGGATTCATGCAGACATCTGTGAACCAGTCCCTACTGACGCTGTACTCCCCAGGGTCTGGGGCCGCAGGGGGCTCTGAGAGGAGCTGGCTCACCTCTGTGGCAGAACGTCAGGCGCCTCTCCTCGCCTGTTTCCAGGCTGGCCACCCACAGGTCATTATTATTGATGAAGGAGAAGAAGGTGGGGTCGGCGGGGCAGATTTTGGGGTCCATCCGTGGCCCCGAACACTGGGTCTTGATTTCCAGAGGCTTCATGGGGGACACCTGAGGACACAGAGGCCAGCTCAGGGGGTGGCCGGCTGCTCCTCACCAGGAGGCCCGGGCGGCCCGCCAGGACTCACCATGAAGCCGTTGCGGCCCCCGTCACGGCAGTGGAAGAGGCTGTTGCTGGCCTGGAAGAGGAAGAGGCCACTCTCGCTGTGGAAGTCGTAGGAGGTGATGCCGAAGACCCCGAGGCGCTTGCGTTCCCGCAGGAGCTCCTCCTCCCTGGAGTAGACGCCGTGGTGGGGTGTGGCCTGGGGACACACAGGGACATGCTGGGGGTGGCCACAGCTGGGCTCCCTCGCTGCTCATCCCCCCAGGAACTCCACCCTCTGCCAGGCGTTTCTGGGGTGACTCTGACCAGTCTCAGCCCAGGGAAGTTTTGGGTGAGTGAGGCTGTCCTGGGGGACCCCCGGAAGCTCGGTACTAACTGAACAATTGGAGGCTGGAAACCTTCGAGCGGCTCCTGAGGAGAAAGCTCTGTCCCAGTAAAGATTATGGCTTCAGGGGATGTGCAAGCTCGGCTCTGTCACCTGAGGTCACTCAGAGTTGGAATGGAGCCAATGGCACCACCAAAAACAGGGCTGTCCTGAACAGACAGTGGGATGTGGGGTCATGATAATGGGACCCCAGGGGGTAGGCCCTACAGCCCCCAGGTGTGCCCTTCCAAAGCCACACCTGAATCTAATGTTACAGGGTGTGAAGCCAAGTCGATTCTGACCCACAGCGTTCCTGTGTAACACAGTAGAACCGCCCCGTAGGGTTTTCTCAGCTTCAACCTTTATGGGAACAGATCATCACATCTTTCTCCCAAGGAGCCAATGGGTGGGTTCGAACTGCCGAATTTTTAGTTAGCAGCTGAGCACTTAACTGAGCAGGGGGCAAGTGAGCCCGTCCGTCTCTCCCAGTGAACTCTCTCCAGGGTTAAAGGGCCGTCTTGTTCTGAGATTCTCTTTACAACTGTAACTCAAACTATTCCCTGAAATCACCTTTACAGTAAACAACAGCTTGAATCACGGAGCAAAGAACACATGCCTTGAGTACTGAGCGCTTTGATTTTGCCTCCTAATGAGCCTATGTGACAGACAGAAGTGCCCCACAGGGACCCTGAGGCTGCTGTCTTTGTGGGAGCAGACCGCTTGGTCTTTCTCTCATGGAGCGTCTGGGTGGGAAGAGTTATCAACCTTTCAGTTAGCAACTCAGCGCCTAACTACTGCGTCACCACAGCTCCTTGACAAGGTCGTATCTAGGAGACAACTATCCAGCAGGAACTCCAAAGCCACGTGGGAAGTTTCGGAGGGAGCGACAGTCTGTCAAAATTAACAGGCACTGAATCTGAGTAGAAAAAGTCAAAGTGTCCTCGCAAAATGACAAATGTAACCCGGGGGCAGAACGGGCTCCTGGGAAACCTGTTGGTTGCATGGTGCACATTCTGCTCCACAGAACTGCACCCAAATAAAAAATAAAGTATTTCGAAAGTAATAGGCAGTGAAAAGAGAATGTTCTCTTGCTTTCCTACTCACTCGCCTCTCCCTCATCTGTCAGTCTGTCCTACTGTGGTGGCTTGTGTGTTGCTGTGATGCTGGACGCTACGCCATAGGGACTTTAAATGCCAGCATGGTGGACAGGTTTCAACTGAGCGAGACTCGGATGAAAGAGAGAGGGGGACTGCTAATGAATGTTGATCCACTGAAAACCTTATGAATAGTAGTTGAATACTCTCAGGAAGATGAGCCCCTCAGGCTGGAAGGCACTCAAAATACAGCTGGGGAAGAGCTGCCTCCTCAAAGTAGAGCTGACCGTGACAACATGAGTAAAGCTTTCGGGATCCTCATTTGCACAACTCAAAATGAGGAGAAACAGCTGACTATCCAGAAATAACTAGAACATGGAGTGTATAAAGTATGAATCTAGGAAAACCGGAAGTTGTCAAAAATGAAACGGAATACATAAAGGTTGATATCCTAGGCATTAGTGAGCCGAAAGGGACTGGTACCGGTCATTTTGAATCTGACAATCATATGGTAGGAATGATAAATTATCAAAAAGAACATTTCAAGATCTATTCTGAAGCATAATGTCTGTGACAAGATAACATTCATATACCTACAAGGAAGACCAGTTAATACCACTATCATTCAAATTGATGCTCCAAACACTTAAGCCAGGAGGTATACAACTAAGAATTTTTTAGTCTGAAATGGATTAAACATGCCATCAAGCTGCACTGATAATTACTAACGATTGGAATGCAAAGGTTGGAAACAAAGAGGAAGGCTCAGTAGTTGAAAAATATGACTTTGGTGATACAAATGACACAGGAGATCACAAGACCAGTTCGTTTTTCACTGCAAGTATCTTTTTTTTTCTCTCCCCACCATCCAAGCCCTAAGAGAATTTTATATTGCACAGTAGATTCCCCACAAGTCAGAATTTGTCCCTGAAGGTTAAACCTTAAACATTTGCTTCAAAAACCCAGACCAAAATGACTGGAAAACAAAACAAAAAATAAAGGAAGAAAAGAAAAGAAAAAAGTAGAAAACCAAAGAACCCTAAACCTAGGGACTTAAAAAATTAGAGGCATAGCCTTTTCTCTAGTTTCTCTATTGATATGAAAATAATTCATGCTAAATACAGTATTTACCTTACAAGAACTGTTATTTTTGAATTTAAAAAAAGTTTTGTTTTTGTGATTTTTTTTTTTTTTCTTTTTTCAAAGGAATCCATGGACTGTGGGTCAGAAATTTCTGCTGGCTCCATTGGCTGAATGGGGGACTCACTGATTTTTGCCACAATGAATCCTGACTGACAATAATTACAAAGTCCATACTGAGGGCAGTCTAGGATTTATTGTTACTATATTGTGTCCAATAACGTGCCTTTCACCTTTGAAAAAAAATACACCATAACACTAATGGCAGCTTTGGTAGCTGTTTTGGATCAAACACTTCTGATAGACAGAAAAATATCTGCCCCATTACATCCTTCCTTAACAGCAATTATAATGTCTTGGACTTGATTGCTTTTTCACTTGGGCAGCTTAGGAGACACAAGCTTGTTTTCTGCATTGGGATGCTTGGATTGTTTTATTTACACACTCCCCACTACCCCTGCTCGTGTGCGTGTATGGTGTGAGTGCGTAGGGCCAACCTTCAGGTTTATGGCTTCTAGAACATTCTCTTAATTTAATATAGAACACAATTCAATGACTAGCAACTTCACTAAAATTTCACCCAGTTTTCTTCTCACGATTTACTGACACTTGGTGTGCCTGAATAGTCCTGTGTCTACCGCCTATGTTAGCAGGCTTCCTAGTTTAGAAGCACAGAGGACTAGCGGTCAGCCCCCCACCAAAGGCCTGTCTGGCACAACTGGATGCCACAAGCTTGGTCATACTCCTAGCAGGATAAGGAATCTTCCCTGCTCCCCAATCCCTCCCTGACATTCACTCAGCAAGCCCAATGAGACGGCTGTTCTGACTTCTTAAAGCTAAGGGCTGGGCCTATCTGCCGACTGCTTTCCACACGTGGCTGCGAGGCGCTGCTGTGTTCCCTGTGGCATGAGCGGGGACATTCCTGTGGGTTCCACAACGTGTTTCTGACAAGCTGGAGGAAGCAATGGTCATTTTGGCTTTTTATTTTCAGTTTTGTCTTCAGAGAATGAAAAGCTTTTTTGGAAAACAGCTGAGTGTCAATATGAGTTCCATGGTGTCCAGTCTACTTTAAAAAGAAAATCTGTAACTGACCCCCCCCCCCAAAAAAAAGGATGGGGGCAAATTAATAAGCAAAAAACGTACAGAAAAGAAATGAAAGCCAAAGCCCCCTCCCCCCAGAAAAAAAGGATAAAGAAAAAGAAAATGAATAATTGCTGATGTTGCCACAAATCATTAGAAATCTCCTGCCATGCTGAAACCAAATGGCTGGAAGGTGCAAATATATTTCTTAAACAACATAAAAGTTAACTGTGCACCTGGGCCTCCCCAGATGGAATACACAGAAATCAAACTGACCACATCTGTGGAAAGAGAAAGTGGAAAAGCCAAAACCATCATCAGCAAAAAACAGGCCAGGGGCAGACTGTGGAACAGACTATCAATTTTTATACGCAAGTTCAGGTTGAGCCTGGAGAAAATTTTTGAAAAAATCCATGAGAAGTGTCCAGCTGATAAGAAGAGAGGGCATATGCACAAGAACACCCACACTTGCAGATAATCCCCACTTGATCTGGCTTCAATGACTGGATGATCAGAGCTCAACTAGAAAAAGAAAGAAGAGAAAAAAAGAGTAATCTGATACAATTTGATGAACTTGACCTACACCTATGGATGCAGTAGCTCAAAAGAGGGAACAAATCTTTACAGCAAGTATCATTCCCACCCCCTCCATACACAGAGTAGACAGGGATGGGCAACTTGGACATTGGTTACCCAAAATGGGGGGGGAGGGAGGGGAATGCTACAAAAGCAAGAAGTGACTGACTTATAAGCTTTCAAGAGGGAACCTAGATCCAGAGGGCATGAAGAAAGGTAGAATCTCCACTGAATAGCATCTAAGCTGTCCAGGCAGATCTGATGAAATGAAATGTGGATAGGTCTATTGTGATACAATAGTGAATAACTGTTATCAGGATTGCTTGTGAGGGTTGGAAATGTAAAGGTAGACATTTTGTAGCAAGGAGGGGAGTGATTAACTTTTCAGTCTAGGAGCGGAGGTCCCTGGGACCATCAATGGAGAAGAGAAGCAGTGATGCCTGAGATGGAGGCAGAGATGATGATGTGGAGAGATGGAACAGCTGGAGACTTTAGACCCAGAGAGGGAGAGGGGCTGTGTGCTGACGACTGGGGGACAGGCTTGTAGTGTATACCCTTTGGTTGGCTGATGATGCATGGAGGGGATTGTAACATGACAATGAAACGATATATGATAGGATGAATGTAAAACTAATGTTCTCCCACGTAAACTATCACATAATTAACAATAAAACATTAAAAAAAAAAGTCCATGAGCGCCAAAATATGACCTTGAACGTATCCCATCTGAATTTAGAGATCATGCCAAGAACAGAAGTGATGAATTAGACCTTTATGACCCTAGACCAAGAGAGTTATGGATGACATCAAGAACATCATACAGGGAGAAAGCAAAAGGTCATTAAGAAGACAATAAAGAAGCAAAAGGTCAAATGGATGTCAGAAGAGACTCTGAAACTTGTTCCCCATCATAGAGATGCTAAAGCAAATGGAAGAAATGAAGAC